AGCCCTATCCTTTATTTTCTTTTATTTCCCTATCCTTCCAAATCATCCTATCCAAATGCACTCTAAAAGTTTTTAAAGGGACATGTTATTACTGAGTAATATATTATTCTATTTTAAAATTATTAATTTGAGTTTTTAGTTTAAATATGTATAACTACTAAGATTGAATTGTTTTAAAAACATAAAAGATAACGATGAAAAGATAATATTTATTTGCTTTGACTTTTTTTAATGGACAATTAATTTAGAATATTCAAAAAGAAAATAATAAACTACTAATAATATAGATGGACAACTATAGTATTGTTTTAGGGTAAATTACACTGACCTCCCTTAAGATTTTATCAAATTACACTGAGATAAAGTATTTGGGACTTATTACTTTGATATCCCTTAAATATCAAATGTGTGCGTAAAAAGTCAATTATGCACTCTATATTTTAGTTCTTTTGTAATACAAGATTCTGTCATACGAAATTACTATTTTATCCAATATTTATAGAAAATATTAGGGCTTTCTTGGTTTGTAACTATAGAAATAATTTTCAATTATCGGAAAACTAAAAAAAGAAAACTGTACAAAAAATTATGGCCTTACTTAGTTTGTAACTCTGAGAATAATTTTATGTACTCAGAAAAAATGAAAATAATAATTAAAAAAAGCTGTACAAAAAACTCTACTTGGTTCAACTTTCTGAAAACTCAGTTATAAGAAGGCCTACTTTCAGATAACTGTTTTTTATTGTTCTTTAAAAACTGTTTTCTGTTTTATGTTCTCTGTTATCTGAATTCTTAAGAACTATTTTCAGAGTTACAAACCAAGCAAGCTCTATGCTTAGTTCAGTTTTCTGAAAACTCTCAGTTATAAAAATACATGTTTTCAGAGACCAATCTTTTATATTTCTCTAAAAACTGTTCTCTATTTTCTAATAACTGTTTTCAGAGTTACAAAGTAACCATGTCCTTATTTTCTGCATTTCTCAATCTAAACACATATATACACCTAAATATACATATAGGCACCCATATATTTTCAGATTTATATACATATTAACATACATGCAAATAGATATATATAAATTCGTACATGTACACAAATTTTTAGATCTGTAAGAGGTTGGGTGACAATATCGATGATGGTGAACATAGATGTGTCGGTGTCGATGTTAGTGATGATTATTGATGACGCCGAATGAAAACGCTTTATATTCTTTCTTACCGCTATCTATGCCTACCTCCAGCACATCCTCAAAACACCACCACAGCCCCACCTCCTCATCCTTCCCTTTGCAATACCAACAATCAATAATATATATATATATATATATATATATATATATATATATATAATATTTTTGTGTGTATATTTAAAAAGAAAATTCTTAGAATGCTCATCATCAATTTGGGTTACCAATTTAAAATTTTTTTTCTCTCTTTCAGGAACACGTGGCATATGAGTCTAGCCCTGGAAAATCTAATGAAGCCTTCCCTTCCTCCCCTTCCTCCTCCACTAACTCCTCTCATTCATCCACCACAATCCATTCCATCATCCTCTACTTCGAGGAGCATCCAGTCCCCTCATGTGATTCATAATCAGCTCTCTATTCACAAATCAAAACATTCCCATTCAACAGCTAAACCACCTCTCCACCCCTCAGCCAAGTCACCACTCAAAAACCCAGCACATGCATCACGTACCATTCTTAAGCCTAAGATTGCTTCCAATCTCTTAGATAACCATGAGAACCATGTCACACCTGATCACCTCCCCAGATCTCCCACAATCACAGCTTCTACCATAGACAAGATCAAGAGGGCCTTGCAGAGCGACAAGATTCTTAATCCTTCAAGCAAACTAATCACAGAGATTTGCTACCTACCTGATGATGTGGGAGCAGAGGTTATGGAAGCATCTAAGTTTGATCTGACTATGGAGGTCTATAGGTTCAAGAGAAAGTTGAAGACTCTAGAGGATGAATTGGCAGCTTTGAAATCTCAGTCCACTATACCCTCTTCCTCTGTTAGACCTCTCGAATCATTAAATTTCCAACCTTCCGATCTTCTGAGCCTCAAGGCTAGTGCTGATGCAAATCATGCCGAACTGATGATGGTCCTCAAGAAACTGTTCTCTCGGCCGACAACCACCTCAGGGTCAGGCTCGGGGACTGATCAACGGCAGGATTTTCAAAATTCAAACCTTCTGCAGGACTCTGGGATGTCACACAAGGGAAGGAAAAAGTTCCTGACACACAGACACTTACTGTAATTGTGTGGAGCCCACCTCTTATTAGCTCTATGCAGATTTGTCATGTCACCCCAGCTACTTCTTCTAATGGGCTTCCACCCATTAATGAACCCAATCTACTTCCTATTAAGCTTACCACCACTCCACCACAATCATCTCTCCACCCCAAAAGAACTTGGGCGGAGGTAGTGCAACAACCTCCCTCTGCACATCCTTCTCAGAAAATAGTCTTAGAGTACTTTGAGCTAGTAAGAACAGATAATGGAGATATTGTGGCTCCCCCTAAGGAGGTTAAGGAAGAGGGTATCACCTCTTGGAGTGGTCTGCTGGTTGGAAGATTTACTCTCAAAAAACCTTCATTCAGCAAGGTTCAGCAAACTGCAATGAGGATCTGGAACAAGTTTGGGCTGCAGCATGTGTTTGCAGACAGTGAAGGCTGTTTCTACTTCAAGTTCGATTCTGATCTCTCAGCCACCTCAATCTTAGCTTCTGGCCCTTATCGTTTTGCAGGGAAAACTCTCCAGTTGCAAAAATGGAACTTCAACTTGTAACAAGGAAATAGAACTGGGAAATATCAGTTGGTTCTTGTATGGGTTCAACTGTTTAACGTCCCAATGCAGTTTTGGACTACAAAGGGATTAAGTCATATTGCTAGTGCACTGGGTAGGCCATTATGCAGACCAAACAACTGATGGAATGGAGAAGTTAAGGTTTGCTAGAATCTATATCGAGGTTGATCTGAGCCTTCCTTTGATTCATTCTTTTCCACTAAGAAATGTTGATGGTACAATGGTGGATATCCTAGTGGAATATCAAGAAATACCCAAGTTCTGTATATCTTGTAAAAAAAGTGGGGCATATTTCATCAATTTGTCCCTCTTTCAAAAAGGGTGGCCCTTTACCACAGACCAAACCTAATCAGTGGCTGAAAATCCTTCCTGGGAAGGGAGGACAGCGAATGATTCCCACAATTGAGGGCTCATCCTCCTCTCCTCATTTTAATCTAATTCCATCTCAACCATCCCCTACAATAGGTCAGCCAATGAATATGAATACCCCCAAACCACAATTACCAAATGGAATCTCATTTAACTCACCATCATCGTCAAAGAGAGTCTCACTGGTCCAGGCTAAGCAGACAGCCAGGTCTCTTTCCTGTGGTGACTTGGAAATTAATAAAGTTCTATGCTCTTTCCCCCGTGAAGGGATAAATGTCTGTTCCTCACCTCATGGTAAGGAGGTGTGTTCATTTGATATTGTGGCCTCATACAAGATGAGCCTGAGTAAGCATTATTATTGTCTTCTTTCTCCCAAAGTATTTCAAGCTCTACAACTTTCAAGGACAAGAGAATCAACACTAAGAAGAAGAAAGACAACATCAATAGAGCTCTGCATTTGAATTTCTTCCCCTACAAGGGGTTAGGGCATCTGAGAGGTAAGCACAAAGTCCCCTCTCAATGATTAACTTTGCTGCATGGAATATACGAGGCTTGAATAGCCTCCCAAAGCAGCTGGAGCTGCGTTCTTTTGTTACATCTTGCAAGCTAGACTTGCTGACTATTTTGGAAACTAGGGTCTCACTTGATAATATGGGTGAAATCCATCGATTTATTGCCCCTAGGTGGCTGGCTATGCACAACTATGACCACTCAGTTCTAGGAAGAATATGGATTATGTGGAACTCAGACAAACTCAGAGTTGACCTAATTACTTCTACTAGACAACTTATTCATTACTCAGTGACTTTTACTGACAACACCCATTTTTTTTTGCTTCATTTGTCTACGTTGCTAATCCATGCATGAAGAGGAAAGAACTTTAGGACTCCATAAATGAGCAATCCACCTCAGATTCCCCATGCATAGTGATTGGGGATTTTAATGTTATTTCTTCCTCACATGAAAAGTATGGGGGTTCCCAAAGATAGACAGCCGCAATGAATGACTTCAATGACTATTTAATACACTCACAGTTAGATGACCTAAGATTCTCAAGTATGCAGTTCACATGGAACAACAAAAGTACAGGTCATGCTAATATTGCCAAGAAGCTTGACAAGACTTTAATAAATGAGAAGTGGACTATGGTTTTCCAAATGTCAGATTGCACCTTTCTCCCTCTTAGCATCTCTGATCATAGCCCTATTCTGGTCAAATTGGGCGCACCTTCAGCACAGAGGAGGATCCCATTTAGGTATTTCAACTTATGGGCTACTAACCCTAATTTTTTCCCTACAGTGGAGCAAGTTTGGGCTTCCCATATCAGTGGCACCTCTATGTTTCAGGTGGTGCAAAAACTTAAAGCCCTGAAAGGAATTCTAAAGCAAAAATGCAGAGTAGAAATTTCTCTTGCATCATCATTGGTGGTTCAATCAAAGCAGGCTCTATCCTCATGCCAACAACTCTTTGACTCAAACCCCATGGATATTCAACTCAAGATTCAGGAAAAGGAACTCATGCAGCATTACACAGACCTTGCATTTGCTGAGGAGAAGTTCATCAAATAAATGGCTAGGGTCAGATAGTTGAGAGAGGGTGATAGCAATACCTCATATTTCTTCAAGCTTTTTAATTCCAAGATCAATAAGAGAAAGATTACTTGCATCACGAATACAAATGGTGTCTCTATTGAGGGGGAAAATCTTATTCAGGCTGAGGTTGTGGCTCACTTCCAAGGCCTATTAGGAGGCTCTCCACTTTCTTACCCTGGGAGGTAGGCTTTGTAGCCATTTATCATTACACAGGTTCCTTCTAATATGTTGCCAATGCTATCTTCTGTCCCTACTGATGCTGAAATCCAAGCTTGTTTTTTGGCTTTTAACAATGATAAATCACCTGGTCCGGATGGATTTAATGCACACTTTTATCAAATGGCATGGCCTGTGGTTGGGAGGGATGTCATCAATGCTATTAGGACCTTTTTTGTCAATGGCAAGCTCCTTAAAGAGGTTAACAACTTCTACATTGCCTTAGTTCCTAAGACATCTAATCCCACAACCTTAAACGACTTTCGACCTATATCTTGCTGCAATACCCTTTATAAATGCATAGCCAAATTGATTGCCAACAAGCTGAAGAATGTACTACCATCTATCATTGATTCCTTCCAAAATGCCTTTATCAAAGGTAAGCACATTGGGGATAGTGTTCTCTTGGCCCAAAAGCTACTGCAGGGGTACCATAAGCAGCTCACACCTCCAAGAGGTGCCATGAAAGTGGACTTTATGAAAGCATTTGACTCTGTGGGGTGGGATTTTTTACTTGACACCCTATTCTTTTTTGGGTTACCTCAGATATTTATTGAATGAATCAGGGCATGTATTACCTCTCCTTCCTTTACAATCTCATTGAATAGGGAATTTCATGGGCATTTTCAAGGGGTTAGGGGTCTTAAACAAGGGGACCCAATCTCCCCTCTGTTGTTTGTGGTGGCTATGCAGGTTTTCTACTCCATTACATGGAATTTCATTGCTGACAGCTAATCTTTCAAGTTCCATTCAAGATGCAGAAGGCTAGCCATTTCCCATCTCATCTTCGTGGATGATCTCTTATTGTTTTCCTATAGTGACCTTGCTTCAGCTGCTACACTCAAACAAGCTTTGGACCACTTCACCTCACTCTCGGGTTTGAAAATTAATTGCTCTAAGAGCAAATTCTTTATCTCAAGAGTAGGGAATACAATTACTGAAGATATTAAGAATCTGCTGAGGTTCGACTTGGGGTCACTGCCTAACAAATACCTTACGGTGCCGCTGATTGCTACTCGTCTTAAGGCTTCTAATTGTAGAGGGTTGGTGGAAAATGTCACGAGAAGGGTCACCCATTGGTCCTCTAACTTCTTATCCTATGTGGGTAGAATTCAACTTATACAATCAGTCCTCTATAGTATGGTGAACTACTGGTCCAGCTTATTTGTTTTACCTAAATCAGTCTTGGCTGAGGTTATTGCATCCTTAGAAACTTCCTATGAATGGGGACAAAATTCAAACATTCTGGGGCCAAGATTATATGGGCTGCAGTCTGTCAACCAAGGAAGTGTAGAGGCCTAGGGTTTCGAAGCCTGGACATTGCGAATATGGCAACATCACTCAAGCACATTTGGACTCCTATTTCTTGCCAGAGGGATAATCTTTGGGCACAATGGGTAAGGACTCAGCTGGTTCAGGATAGGTGTTTCTGGACTATGCCAATTCCACAGGCATGCTCGTGTAACTAGAAGAAACTATTTCAACTTAGAGGAGCTGTAAGGTCACTCATTAGGAGGATTATTGGTAATGGTGAAATGACATACTTTTGAGAAGACAACTGGCTTCAAGGGGGCCTCTCATCTTCAGGGTCAATGATGAAATTAGAAGCAACATACCAATTTTACCTAAGCAAAAACTCTCAACACTTGCGGTGGATGGAGCGTGGTCTTTTCCGGATGCAGTTACAGAGCTTTTCCCTGAAATTACAAACATAAGCCCACCATCTGATTCCTCCGTGTGGATCCTTTTTCCTATAGGTTCTTTTTCCTTATCCCATACTGTCAGTTGGTTGGAGACCCTTTCTCCCCCAAGGCAATGGTATCACCTCGTTTGGCACCATTTCTTGGTGCCAAAAAGTAGATTTTCTTTATAGCTTACAATGCAAAATAAGCTCTCTACCCTCGACAGAAGTAGCATAAGGGATGTGCCTCTTCTAAGGCTGTGCCATTTCTGCAACTTGGTAGATGAGTCACACAATCACTTGTTCTTTGGCTGCTTCTTCATCAGACCTTTATGGATCCATCTTCAAGACAGATGCAAGTTCCGTTCCCCTACTTCATCGTGGAATGGATTTGTGAATTGGGTATCGCATCAATGGGCATGACGGAATTTGCGTATGGTGGTGAACAAGCTCATGCTATCCACAACCATCAATAAGATATGGATGGAGCGAAACCACCGAGCCTTCAAGAATCGAAGATGCTCACAAATGGAGTTACTCAGGCAGATCACTGACTTGATCAGGCAGAAGCTACTTACTTTGCAGGTGCAAGACTCTGTTGATGCAAGTCGTTTGATCCTTGAATGGAACCTACTTGCATCGTTCATCAGACCACCACCGGAGCCACCAGATCTTTTCAATTAGGGCTGCTGCCCTAATTTGCCTTTCACCGGAATAATTCAACGCTTAGACATGGGTAGTCTAGAATGCTATAGAATGACCTAGACTAGATATGTTTCTGCTGTGGGGTTGGGCCCTGTTTGGGATTGGGCTTTGTATTTTGTGTTGTTATGCCTCGTCTATTATTCATGGACAGGGCCTTACTGGGGTTATTTGTACATTCTATTTTATAGCAATATAAATTAATCTTTATCTTCTTTAAAAAAAAATTTGGGTTGCCATAAATTTTGGATGATGTATATACAATATTACGTATATTTATAAAGGAGTATACAAGTTGAGTAACAATTTAATATAGATGGAAAGGAGAAAGAGAGAAATTGCATGAGTTAGAGAGAGAGAGAGAGAGATAGATGGGAAAGAAATAGATTGCAGAAGAGAGAGAAAGTGGTAATGGATACTTAAGGGTATTCTTGTTTATGTCATTATTGGTTTTTTTTTTTTTTATTTATCAAAATGTCATTATTGGTTGATTTTTGTCATTTTTTAATTAGTGTAATTTATCCTATTATTTAAATATACACATTTCACAGTTTACACTTTACGCCTATTTTATACCAATTTCATTAGACCAAATTAAAAATTGGGAATGTTGGTTCCACAAACGAATATACCCATTAAAAAAATAGTGAGGCGAAATGACGATAGTACCTTTATATTTGTCCCCTAAAATTGCAGGCTAGAATCCAAAAACTAAGAACGACAGTGACGAGTCACGGGGCTTCATGACCCTATGAACAGTCCCATCTGGTCAAACCTCTAGTCAATGCAAGTCTGCACATGGACCCCACAACTCGTACTAACCCGCAGGATTAAAAAGCGAAAAGTGCCTATGACGTGGCAACCAGGCTTTAAATGTCCTGCCTTAAAAGACGAAATTGACATCCGTATTTCCCTCAAAGGACAAACCTGTCCTCTTCGCATGATCCAGATTTTTGGGATGATCATGTAATTCGGTGTAAATTTAGGGTTTTGTAGGTCTTGACCATATATTATCATTCTTGCATATGCAATAATAGGGCAATAACCAAAAAGTTTCTTTAGAACTGTCGAGTGCCCTTGCATTAAGCTATACCCAAAAATTATTATACTCCTATACACATATGTATGACTACGTATATTTGGTAACCATACATGGTTACATATGTGGATTTTGTTTGCTTGATCTCTTGTTTGAGCTAGAGAGAGCATCATGGCATGATATATGTTGAGCAAATAATACATTTTTCGTCTTCTCTAAGCCAACAATAAGAATCAAGGACTCTTAGCTTCACTCCCTCCCATTTCCATTTCATGCATGTTCAGTACTGTATTAAAACAGTTTATAGCGCATGCAATTTCTTAGAGTTGCAAATGATTGAATTGCTCTTATAATAAATTTCTTGATTCATCTTAAATAAATATGTCAAAGTTCAAACAATCTCAATAAATTAACCCATTGACTAACATATATATATATATATATATATATATATATATATATATATATAGGTGGACGAGCTGAACAATTATAATAAAGCTGTCCTTGTTAATTAACGACTCTGCTTAATTAATGGACGGGCATACATTTTAACTTGAAAGATTATGATGAATGCTGGCTTAGGCACGTGTATGGTTACTGGTAGTCAGGTTCGGAGTGATCCCTCTCTCTGGTTGTGAAAAGTTTTGGGGGTTATTGATATATATCTGTCAGTTTGAATAGATTTGTTTGGAATTTTCTGATAATGTGCTACCCATCAGGTATGATCTTTCTCTCTCTCTCTGTATCACAATCTGTAGAGGTAGTGGTTTGAATTAGTATGTTAAGATTCGGACTTTAAACTTTGTAGATTTTTGAAGATTTTAAGGGTAGTGCATGCTGATCAATATTGTAAAGCTTTAAAAAAGGTTGTGAATTTTAAAGAAAGAAAGTGAAAAGGTGAAAGAGAGAGATACTGGTGAAAACATGCAACTAGTTTCTTTTTACTTTCTTCTCATTTATGATTTATATGCAGCCTCTGCAGATGCAAAGCCAACCACAATATATATATATATATATATATATATATATATATTCTCTTATTAGTATTTTATATGTTAGTAATAGCTACACACTACTCATCCATGTTTAGGCATACTAATTAATGCCCCTTTAGCTGAACTAGCTAGCAGTCATGCATAGTGATTATTTGACTTGTTTGAATAGCCACATCACACCACAAGCACTCTAAATTTAAAAAGAAAGCTAGAGACAAAGTGCCATTGGAATATCAATGTGCTTCACCAAGCCCCTCTCTCTGTTTTTCCCTACTCTTTAAGACTGCCTCTCTCTCTCTCTCTACACACACAAATACACACACACATATATATGTTAGCATATTGTCTTGCATGCACTTGAGTTGTTGGTGATGATGGCTAATATTCAAGGAGTAGGTAATAATAGTAGTGTGTTGAGGGAATATAGAAGAGGGAACTGGACAGTGCAGGAGACAATGGTTCTGATAGAGGCAAAGAAGATGGATGATGAGAGAAGAATGAAGAGACCAGCTGGTGTATGTGGGGATAGTAGTGATCCCCAAGGGATGATGAGGATTAGCAAACCTACAGAGCTAAGATGGAAATGGATTGAAGATTTTTGCTGGAGAAATGGGTGTTTCAGAAGTCAGAACCAGTGCAATGACAAGTGGGATAATCTTATGAGAGATTTCAAGAAAGTCAGAGATTATGAGAGAAGATTATTAGTTGTTTATCAGAAAGCTGGAGAAGGAGATCATGATTGTAAAATGAATGAAAGCAGTAGTTATTGGAAGATTGAAAGGAGTGAGAGGAAAGAGAGGAACTTGCCTTCCAATATGTTGCCTCAGATATATGAAGCTTTGGTAGAGGTTGTGGAGAGGAAAGGAGGAGGAGGAGTACAGAGGGTAGTAGGTAGTGGTGGTGGTGGATCTATTTCCAATACCAACACCAGCAGGGCCGGCTATGTCATGGAGGGACCCACCATCAGTACTGTTCAGCCTTCATTCCCGCCTCTATTGCAACACACCATCTCAACTCCAGTTGCATTATTACCACTCCCTCCACCGCTACAACCACCACCACCACCACCATCACAACCACATCCCATCTCATATTCTCAGCCACTGCCCACAGTAAGTACTCTCTCTCACACACACAAATAGTGCTCCTCACTTTTAATGCATCAATCGATCATTTGGACTTTTAGCACTATATATGTCAGGAATGCATATGATGGTGCCTTGTCCTCTTCCTTATAACAATTGCAGATATATTCGTTTCCTCTCTCTCCTCTGTGTGTGTGTGTGTGTGCGCGCTTGTTTTGTGGACGGAGTTTGGAAGCAAGAAGTTTCAGTCATAGCATTTTTCAGAGATTTTGCTATACATTTCTTATTTGCTCATTGATGTCCTCTTTTTTCACATTAACAACTTACATTACTCCTACAATGAACTTGAGCAATTTGTTTATTTTATAGCTTTCTGAGTGTGTGCATCAAGTAATTATATTAGTACACTATGCATGCATCAAATGCCCCACTTTCATCAATATCATTTTTTTTTTTTTTTCTTTCTATTTATTTTATTTGATTCGATATATATATATATATATATATATGTTTAATTATATTTTAATGTACGTGTGATAGTCAGATACTGATACAAGTGAGTATTCAGACTCACCATCAGCAAAGAGGAGGAGGAGGAGGAGGAGGAGGAGAGGAGAGGGAAGCAGTGGGACTGCAGCAAGCGGCAGCACAATATCGAATGAAGTGAGCTCTGCAATCTCTAGAAGTGCAACCATTATAGCAGAAGCAATTCAGGCCTGTGAGGAGAGAGAAGAAAGAAGGCACAAGGACCTATTGAGTTTGCATGAGAGAAGACTACAGATTGAGGAGTCTAAGACTGAGATCAACAGACAAGGTATTAATGGCCTGGTTGATGCTGTTAACAAGCTTGCCAATTCAATCTTTACTTTGGCCACCCACAAAGTTGAACAATCTGATCCTCCACAATGATCCATCCATCTCATTTGATTCTCAACTATTTATATATATATTTATTTATATATAAAATCTGAAATTGATGATAGATAGAGAGAGCTTGTTGATATATTTGGTAATTGTACTGTACATAGATGATTATCAAAGTTGTGTATCACTTCATTTGTCATGTTAATTATATTTAATTAACCTCTCTCTCATAGACTATTATATCGAACATGGAGCTGGAATTGGTAATTTGATTGTATTATTAATGAATCCAAGAATGCAATATATATATATATATATATATGTATGTATGTATGTATGCTCTTTGTTGGTTGTTATTTTCCAGGGACCTTGTATGCCTGTAGTGTCTGCAGCCATGCATTTAAGTGTTGAATTGTGGAATTCTCAAACCAATTCAGATCCGAGTTGCCGTGTCATGTCTGTACTAGTAAAATGATAAGGATGTGACTAGACACAATGAAATTTTTGGATTGATATTGATCTCTCACCTAGGTGAAGTTCTGTGAGAAATTTAAAAAGATAAGCAACCGGTCTTAATTTTAAATTTGTTGCTCCTTCATGGTGTAATTGATTGGGCCACATGCAATATATCATTCCACAAAACTAATAAAGTGGAGATAGTTGAGGCATGTATCATCCTTAGCATTCCAAAAGTTGAGGCAATTGATACAGGAGTTGAATTGAGTTATCTCTTCAGTTTGGAATATGAATGGGTACTTTGAATTTGACAATTGAGAAAATTTAGTTTAAAATTTGTACTATATTTTCTTTAATTCCTAATCATTTCAGTTGCCAAATATAACATTGGCTTATTTTGGGTTGTAATTTTTTTCTTTAAATGCCACCAAAAGGCATGTTAGTCTCTCGAGAAAGTATTTAATACCCGGAGGTACCCTCTAATACTAATTTGCTATTTCCTAGCATCAAGGAAAGTGAAAGTTAGTGTTTTCGTTGGCGAGAGGTATTTCATAAAATTTTTCCCCAATGTATCATGGAACTGTATACATAGCGTGTACAATGCGTGTGAAAACAAACACTAACAGTAACCAGGCTTGGTTGGGGATACTGAAGTGCATTTATGTGGTAGAGATGCGAGTTGGTACTGAGTGGGGTGGGGCCACTTACTTAGCAGACAGAGCTTGTGAATGTATAAAGCAGCAGGTATGGCACTGGCATCTCTCACTCTGAATCTAAAAAGACTGGTCAAAGGAGACCGGTCAATGATCTCTGAAACAGCCATTTGTGTGTTATTATTGGTGGCAGTCTTTGTGGTGATGAAAAAGGATGGGGGATTCTTTTTCCTACTCAGAATCCAAGGCTTCCTATTGGCTATTTGGGTAACATTTCGCTTCAACTTTTCTGACCACATCTTTACCCTTTTTCTTTATCTAGAGCTCCACAACCAGGAAAGAGAAAGAGAGCCTTCACATACATATCAATGGCTATATATATATATTCCTAACGCTAGTAAGCAATTTATTATAGTTTTAAAAATGATTTTTTCATTAAAATGCATCCCAAACTTGAGTTTGAGCTGCTTGATAAGTTGATCATGTTTTCTTATTACATAGGATAGGAACACTCTATACAAACAAAATCTCTAAAATAGAAGAGAAAGGATTAAGTTGCAGAAAACACCCTATATTATTAGATATAGTGCATATAACACACTTAAAAGTTTGTTTATTATATATATAACTACCTAAAATAAAAAGGTTCAAGACAATACCCTTCAAACTAGAGCTGTTAGGCTGTTACCACCAAGTGGATGTGAGCTTGTATTTGTTGCACAGCCCGAAATTATCCTTTACGTAATTTCACCCTCTCTTCAATATACACAATATATAAGGTTAAAATCATAAAATCTCTCTTGTTTTCAAAAACTATCAACTAACCCCCTTAATTAAAAAAACTATCATATTATCCTTAATGTTTTAAAAAGTCTATCATATCTCTCCCCGTTAGTTTCCTGTCTAAAACTAACGAAATACAACGGGGTTGTATCACATGCAACAGTTGCATCATTTTGCTGATCAAAATAACTTTGAAATTCGTAATGACAAATTTGCCCTTCCCACACTATAAACTCAATTTAATAAAATATTAATATGCTATCAAGGGCATTATTGTCATTTCACAACAACTTCACAGTTCCGACACGAAAAGAGAGCAACGAGATAGTTTTTGCTAATTCAGAGGGATGTTTGATAATTGAGGGGTTATATGACGTTTTTGAAAACAAGAGGGGGGGTTTTATGATTTTAGCCATAATATTTATTATATCAACTCTCTCTCTCTCTCTCTCTCAGCAATCTCTCGCCCCCCAACACCCTCAAATGGAATTCTGCATTGACAAGCATCTTTTACATGAGGTGTAAGAATAAAAGAGGTGCATCAACTACAATTCTCATGTACTCATCAGACACGCATACCACATATGCTGGATATGACGTTGTATACTGAAGTTAAAAAAGGATTTTACTGAACATACAAGAAACTGAAAGAAGAAGATGCACAAAGAAAAGCCAACACATTAGGCAGATGATCTTGCCAACAGCATAGTATGTAAACCAAGTACCAGCACATTTATTTCTTCATAACATTTGAGATATATTATTTTTATTGGAAAACGATATTTAATTTTACAAAAACTAGCAGGTAAGACAACACAACAGAAGAATTTGGGTTTCATAAAAAGGAACGTCCCACCCTCGCTGGCCTGCAAGACATAAACTTCTTTCAAGACATTATAAAAAATATTATATAATTCATGAGTAGTCATCACATGAATCAGTTGCATTTTTACAATATTATAACACCACTAGTGACACACCAGTAGCTTCAAATTGAAATTGTAGGGTGGTGTCTCCTAAAAAAAAATTAAGAATATTGATTAAATTTTAGGAGAGTATATAACGACTCTACCTTTTATTTTTTATTTGTTTATTTACTTATTGTTAGAATGTTATATATATATATATATGTGTGTGTGTGTGTGTGTTGGGCCATTATGTAATTACATAATGTTGGTAGGGCCCTTGTGTTATTCAGGTGACTTGTATCCTTTGTATAACCCTACATAGGCTTATTAGGTTGTAAGTGTGAAACATATAGATACAAGTTCTCTCTCCCTTTCTCTGTGTCTCTCATGATTTTGAACATGGTATCAGAGCAACACGAATTCATGGGTGTGAGAGTCTGTAATTGTGTGGTTTAAGATCGGAATCACGATCGGAATCGCGATCGTGGTGTTGGTGTTCCTGCTTTCTTCATTCGTCGCCGGCAGCTCCTCGTTCACCGTCATCAGATCTGCATCGTCATTCGTCGTCGTCAGATCTGCATTGTTCGTCATCGTCGTTGCCGGTAGCTTCTTTTTGGTTGTCAGCGAACTCGTCATTAGATCTGCCGTCTTGATTTACAGAGGTGAGGTTCATCGAATTGCGTTTTTTTTTGGGCCGGAAGTTACAGAGGTAGCTGCCTATTGATTCCGCCGTTGCTTATGACTGGGTCGCCATTGTCTCCACTGTTTTGTTGACTGGCGTTTGTGAAGGTGTGAAGAAGAAGACCCTTGTTTGGCTACAAGATTATGCTATTCCAATCCTGGTTTACTAAACCTAGAATAGCTATTCTAACCCTGGTTTACTAAACTTGGGATAGCCCAGATCCGGCCCGTTTGATGCATGGGAAAAGGAAGATGCTCACATCATCTCTGTGATGATAAACAGTATTGAACCCCAAATCAGTTCAACTTAACTTTATTTGGATACTGCCAAGGAGATATGGGACAGATTGCAGCAACTGTATTCTGGGACAGGTAATATCACTCGTGTTTATGAGCTTTGCAAGCAGTATTTCAATCTTAAACAAGGTGCTCACAATATAGAAGAGTATTATTCCAAAGTTATGGGAGTTTGTGAGGAGCTGAATATGTATCAGCCCATTACTGCTAATGTTCGAAGTATGCAACAACAACGAGAGGACTTTAATTTTGTCCGTTTTCTTACTGGTTTGTCATCAGCTTATAAGTCTTTTTGTTCACAGATTATGGGCAGTCCCACACTTCCATCTCTTGCTGATATGTTTTATCGACTTCAGCGCGCTACACTTGTAAGTGATACCTCAACTTTGAATACTGGGCAGAATGGTGAGCGTTCAGCATTGATCATTTCAAAGGGTGAGAATACTGCTTTCCGTGGAGGTCGTGGGGGACGCTCCACACGTGGCGGTCGTGATTCACAGGGAGGACGTGGCCGTGGCAGGGAATCACGAAAATGCACTCATTGTGGCCCTTCTAATCATACTGTGAATTTTTGTTGGGACCTTCATGGCAAACCATCTAGTTATGCAAATCAAGTTTCCTCCTCTCCGAATGATGTTGCTTCTGGATCTCACAACGTAGCTGAATCAGATACGGTCCCTGTTCCACATGATGAGTATACTCAGTTTTTGTCTTATAAGCAAGCATATAATTCATCTTCCACGGCTACCTTTGCCCAGTCAGGTACTGCACACACATGTCTATTGTCTTCCACTCGCAGTCCTTGGATCATAGACACTGGAGCATCCGATCATATGATTGGATGTTCTTCTCTTCTATTTGATTTTAATTTTGTACCTCCTTCTCAAAGAGTTACCCTTGCTAATGGTTCCTCCACTAAGGTTTCAAGTTTGGGGACAACTCAACTTAGTGATTCCTTGTCTCTCTCTTCTGTTTTATATGTTCCTCAGTTTCCTTTTAATTTAATGTCTATTAGTAAGCTTACTAAATCCCTTCAGTGCTTTGTTACATTTTATCCTACTTTTTGTGTGTTTCAGGATCTCAAGACAAAGAAGAAGATTGGTACGGGGTATGAAGCTGGTGGCTTATATTACTTTGATTTGGCACCTTATCCTGTGGCTCTTCAGTCTTCTCTGTCTCCATTCCAGCGACACTGTCGTCTTGGTCGCCCGTCACTTCAAGTTTTGTAGCGTCAAGTTCCTAGTCTTAGTAATTTGAAATTCTTGTCATGTGAAGTTTGTCAACTTAGTAAGCACCATCGCGTGTCTTTCAAGTCTAGGGTTAATGATCGTGTCTCTAGTCTTTTTCATTTGGTTCATTCAGATGTATGAGGTCCAATAAAGCATTCTTCAATCAATAATTTTCATTATTTTGTGACATTTGTGGATAATCGCTTGACTTGGTTGTTTATGATGAAAGATCGTTCTGAGTTATTTTTAATTTTTCAAAAATTTTGAAAAGAAATCAAAACTCAGTTTGGCTACCCAATTCGTATTTTACGTTTTGATAATGCTAAGGAATATTCTTCAACCCCCTTTGATACATATTTTATTGATACATATTTTAGTGATAAATGAATTATTCATCAAAATGCATGTGTTTATACTCTTCAACAAAATAGAGTTGCAGAATGTAAGAATCGACACCTCTTAGAAGTAACCCGTGCTCTTTTGTTTCATATGCGCATGCCTAAACGGTTTTGGGGTGATGTTGTTCTTACTGCCTGTCATCTTATTAGCCGTGCTGTCATCTATATTAGATGGCAAATCTCCACATTCTATTTTATTTCCTGATTCTCCTTTGTTTTCTCTTACTCCTAGAGTTTTTGGATGTGTATGCTATGTCCACAATCTTGCTTCTGGTTTTGATAAACTCGACCCATGTGCCACAAAGTGTGTATTTCTTAGATACTCTCGTTCTCATAAAGGTTATCGCTGCTATAGTCCTGTTTCTCAACGGTACTTTATTAGCGCGGATGTGACCTTTTGTGAGTCCATCCCATATTTTTCAGATAGTGATTCAATTCTTGATATTACCCGAGTCGCCTCTTCCTGCAGTTCATCTTCCCTCACTTTCTCTTCAACCTAGATCTCCTTTGCCTGCCCCGTTACAGGTGTACACTCGAAGACTAAAGCCATCTGCTATCGTGCCTCCTCCATCGTCTTCAGAGTCTTTGGATCCAACACAGTCCATTGTGTCTAATTCCTTGCCTATTGCACTTCGTAAAAGTACTCGCTCGTGTGTCACTAATCATCCTATTGCTCAATATGTCTCTTATAATTCCTTATCGCCATCTTTCTCATGTTTTTCCTCTCAATTGTCTACTACATTTGTTCCTAAGACTGTGCAGGATGCTTTGTCTGATTCGGGCTGGAGGAAAACAATGCAAGATGAAATGGATGCTTTGCATCAGAATGGCACGTGGAATCTTGTTCCATTACCTCCAGGTGTCAAACCGGTTGGTTGTTGCTGGGTATACACTGTGAAGTATCTTCCAGATGGGTCCGTTGAGCGTTTAAAAGCCCGTCTTGTTGCCAAAGGTTATACCCAGATTTATGGTATTGACTATGATGAGATGTTTGCCTCTGTTGCTAAGATTTCTTCTATTCGTGTTTTGATTTCTCTTGTTGTTAATAGACATTGGCCTCTGTTTCAGTTAGAAGTTAAAAATGTCTTTTTGCATGGTGACTTAGCAGAAGAGGTTTATATGGAACAACCACTTGGGTTTGTTGCTCATGGGGAGTATCTTCACACTGTTTGTCGCCTTAAAAAGGCCCTGGATTGAAACAATCTCCACGAGCTTGGTTTGGAAAATTCTCTGAGACGGCATTAAAATTTGGACTTAACAGATGTCAGACCGACCAGTCGGTATTTCACCAGCGCAGTAAAGCTGGCTTCATCTTTCTTGTGGTGTATGTAGATGATATTGTGATCACAAGTGATGATTCTGAAGGCATTGCTAAGTTGAAGTTGTTTCTGCAATATCGATTCCACACTAAAGACTTGGATAAACTTAGGTATTTCTTAGGTATTGAAGTTGCTAGATCCAAGAAGGGTATAAGTTTATCCCAACGAAAATATGTGTTGGATTTATTAGAAGAAACAGGTATGTTGGGTGATCCCCCGGTTGATGCTCCTATGGATTCGAATATAAAACTTGTGTCTGATGAGGGTGATCTATTTAATGACCCGGTCAGATTTCGTCGCCTTGTTGGGAAATTAATTTATCTCACTATCATTCAACCTGATATTTCATATGCAGTTAGTGTTGTAAGTCAGTTCATGGAAGCTCCTAGAATGCCACATTGGATTGCTGTTCTTCGGATTATCCGATATCTCAAGCAAGGTCCAGGTGTTGGGCTACTATATAAATCAAATGGTCATCTCAGAGTGGAAGGTTTTATAGATGCCGACTGGGCTGGTTCTCCTTCAGATAGGATATCTACTACAGGCTACTGCACATTTGTAGGAGGAAATCTTGTTACATGGCGAAGTAAAAAGCAAACGGTGGTAGCTCGATCTAGTACTGAAGCTGAGTATAGGGCAATGGCCCATACTACTAGTGAGTTGACCTGGATACAACATTTTCTAAAAGAACTTGGGTTGACAGTTGAAGCTCCTACTTCATTGTTCTGTGATAATCAAGCAGCAGTTCACATTGCCTCAAATCCTGTGTTTCATGAGAGGACCAAACATATTGAAGTTGATTGTCACTTCATTCGAGAAAAAATATTACGTGGGAGCATCTCTACTCTATTCGTGAAGTCTGAAGATCAATTAGCTGATATGTTTACCAAAGAATTGGGTCATAACCGGTTAAAAACTATTTGTTCTAAGCTGGGATTATTTGATATATATTCTCCAGCTTGAGAGGGAGTGTTAGAATGTTATATATATATATATATATATATATATATATATATATATGTTGGGCCATTATGTAATTACATAATGTTGGTAGGGCCCTTGTGTTATTAAGGTGACTTGTATCCTTTATATAAGCCTACATAGGCTTATTAGGTTGTAAGTGTGAAAGATATAGATACAAGTTCTCTCTCTCTCTCTCTGTCTCTGTCTCTCTGTCTCTCATGATTTTGAACACTTATTTTGTCTCATCTTCTCATTTGGTGGTTTTCAATGGTTAATACATGATCCTATATGGGCTTTTTTTATTAACTAACCTGCACATTTGATATTTCAGCACATACATACAAATACAATCCAATCCTTCAACCTATACCTCTAAGATATTTTTACAGTAGAAATTATATCATTTGTTTCATATTGATCATCATCATCATCTTTGCCTTAATCCCATATGAATGGAGTCAGTCACATGAATTCCCCTTTTCCATTCTATTCTATTAAAAGTCATATCTCCTCTAATATTGAACTTTTAAAAATCATTTCTAATGATTTCATCCCATGTTAATTTCGGTCATCCTCTTTACCTCCCACCGTCTAAGCAAATTAACCTAACTCTTCTCACTGGTGCAGGAAAAAGTTTCACAATAAAAATTCCATGTCATAAATTAAAACTATATACATGCATATACATATAACTACTGAACACTCCATGTTTACACTCATTGTGTCAGTTATACGCTTCCGTTATCAACTGACAGGACCCAAGAAATGGAGGCTTTGACCCCTGCAACTTCACATTTTTGAGCCAAAGGCTAGTAAGAGTTGACCTATTATTGAAAGTATTCCAGTCTATTAAAGGAAATTCATCCTCATTTTATCAATGTAACAGCTCAATCTTCAAGTTGTAACTGCCAGGTTTTATTTGGGAAAAGGGTTATGGAAGTTCTGAGAAAAGAATTTGATAGAATGTAAACAGGAAACCAAGCAATGGGGTTTCCATTAATTATAAACACAGTCTAACTGACCGCCAGACACTAGTATGAAATTACCTTTGCTCCAACTAAGTTCTTTTTGTTTGTGGTATCTCCTCTACCTCCTAAAGTAGAAGGTTGAGAAGTCTCCGAGAGAGCAAAGTGGGTGCATGTGTTACTTGCAAACCGGGAAAAAAAAAAAAAAATGTTGCTTTGCCATTAAGCTTGGTGACTCACAAAGCTCTATATTCCGAAACCACAAAATTTATAATTTTTGTAGTGATCTATTATAACACTATGGACTTCTGAAGTCATTGAAGTGAGCTACTGAAACTTATGAAGTGTTGAAGAGGCTTACATGAGCTCTAGAACAAGGGCAGATGCTCCTCCTCCCCCATTGCAGATTCCAGCAACCCCAAACTTCCCCCTCTTCTGTCTCAGAACCTGCAACACCATTACGCCTTGACTGAGATAGGGCAAAAGTCACTAATACTCTTCTTCTAGAAGGTAATAGGTACAAGCAGTTCACCATTTTAATTATGTCTCTTTGCATTTTCACAAGAAACAGATATCAATCTCCAAAATAGACTTAGTAAAGAATATGATAAAAACAAAGGGTTGCATTTAGAACCACATACATCATTCAGGTATATATGTGTGGGAGGAGAGAGAGGAAAGGGAATGAGAGACGTGACAGTATTGGGTTAGATCAACAGATCAATCTGAAAAGGAAGGTCATAAGAATCAAGTATACTAATAAAGGAGCAATTCCATAGGAATATTACCCCTAACAATGTAACCAAGATCCGAGCACCACTGCAACCTAGTGGATGTCCCAAAGATACAGCTCCGCCATGCACATTCAGTTTTTCCTATAACCATAACAAAGGTACATTAATATGGAGAAAAGGAATTGATAATTCTCTGGCAAACCATATGAAGTAAAATTTGAAATTTTCATAAACAACCAGAAACTGTTTATTGTATAAATTCAGTGTTGCAAAAGCTCACATTAGGTCAAGGAAGAAAATGAGAGAGGCAGTAGAAAACTCACAGGAGTAAGACCAAGCAGCTTTTGGTTGGCAAGGGCTACAACCTGCAGAGAAAAGGTGAGAAAACAACTCCCGCTTTATCAGGAAAACACTGATAGTTTTAAAAACAGAGATTCTTACAGCAAAAGCTTCATTTATTTCGAAGTAATCAATTTGACAAGCTTCCAAGCCAGCATTTGAAATGGCTTTAGGTATTGCAAGGGCTGGAGCAGTTGGAAATAACTCAGGCGCCTGCCCATTCAATCTTGTTACAAAACCAAGTTATATAAAGTCCCAAGAATCAAGGCAAAAGATAGTTTCTTTACAATACCTGAGCAGCATCGGCATAGCCTCTGATCTTAGCAATTACTTGCAATCCAAGTTTAAGTGCCTTCTCTCCACTCACTAGCACTAAGGCAGCCGCACCATCACTGTCCATGCAAATAGCAACATCATAATGAAATAAATGACTGATAATGCCCTACAGCTGTTACAAACAGTAGGTCAATGCAAAAGCGCATGAACACTCGAAAGGGTGCTCTTTAATCTCTCAACTAAATAAATGGCTCTTTGCTGCAGCTGTTTACATTATTTGGAATGAAAGGAATAGCAAGCTTTATGCCAATCAGTTTGCTGATATTACTGCTATTGAGAAGGAAGTATATGAAGTAGTTAGACTTAAAGCCATCTCTCTTAGGAAGTTTAAAAGTTCTGTTTCCAACAGATGGATTAGTGCTGAGTGGGGTTTACTGCCCAATACTATTTTTGATGCTTCAAGTTTTGTGTTTAAATGTTGTTGCCCACATGTTTTTAGTTCTGTGGGTTATTTCTCTGAGTTTCTGGGATTATCAGGTGATTGAGAGTATTTGCAGCTTGGGGTGGGATAACAGATATGCTATTGATTGGGTGTTGAGTAGAAAGGACATGGTTAGCTGTCCAAGGCAGAGGTGTGGTGCTGTTTGGTTCCCAGTTTTACAGAAGGTTGGGTTGTTCGGTTATTTTGTTGTTGTTTGTTTTTTTTGGGATGGAATTCTAGTGCTGGTTTTTCTATTTTTAATTCTGGTCACGTGGACCATATTTTGTTATGTCTTGTCCTATAGGAGAGGTAATTGGTTCCTTTTAGTTTGGTGGGTATGGGGTTTCCATATCTACTATTTTTGTTTGTGATTGTTTGGCTTTGTGCCCTGTTATTAATAAAATTTGCTTGCTTCTCAGAAAAAAAAAAAAAAAAAAGAAAAGAAAAAAGAAAAAAGAAAGCTACAACATGCACCAGATGTTTGTGCATGTATAGATGCATGCAAACAACATTCAGATTATACATATTATATGTACACATAAATATTACTCCCTTTGTCCCAAAATTCTTGGGGTGTTTGAGGAATCCAACTTTTTATGGTAGTGGAGTTTTAATATTTTTTTATTGTGTTGATAAGAGTGAATTTCCAAATTCATCCTTATTAAAAGATAGAAGAGTATTCCGTAATCAGTGCACTAGTCAATGTCAAAAGGATAGTTTGGGAATGATTTAAAAAATAGTACATCCAATTTTGGAATTGGACATGTATTTTTGAGACATTCCAAAAAAGAAAGATGGACAGGAATTTGGGAAGGAGGGAGTATATAACTATATACATAGAGAGAGAGGACCTTATGATAGAAGCATTGCCAGCAGTGACGGTACCCCCATCCGCCTTGAAACTTGGCCGAAGTTTCCTTAGTTTTGCAGCATCAAACTACAAAAGTAACGATGCAAAAGGATATTAAAAAATCAATACACCAGTAATGAAGCACATAAGAAGCCACTATAAAGAAGGAAATGACAGTACAAATTCTGACCCCTTGTATATGTACTTTAAAAGATTAGGTATTGGATTTATTATTATTATCATCATCATTATCATTATTTAATTTTTATTTTTATTTAATTTTACTTTATTTTATTTTTTGCCCTTTTGCTTTGTTTTTGATCCAATATTAGGCATTGAATAGTTCAAAACAAATTTGAAAACTTCATTTCCCACATTATGTCTCTGTTGCCAACCATTTTATTTACCTTTCCTAAACTCTCGTCTGCATCTACAATTGTAGCTGGTTTCGCCCTGCCCCCAGAAACTTCAACCTGCATATGTAACCATGCTTTGACAATTATAAATGATGTTAAAAACAAAATCCTCCCCCACTGAGCATGTAAATAGGAGTCTCACCGGAACTATTTCCCATGCAAAAGAACCGCTTCTTTGTGCAGCGATTCCTCGATTAAAGCTTTGGATAGCATAAGCATCCTACAAAAGAAACAAAGATATAGCATTAACCATCGAAGTGAACCGAATTCAAAAGCTCATGGTCATTGAGAAAAATTGTAAGATTCAATGTAAGAGAAACTAAGAGGTACAGCATGAAGTGGATCACCACAACTAATTTTGAATTTTCAATTGATTTTTTTGTGGTTTTTCAAATGATTAAATGCAAGGTTTCATGATGCATTTGGCGACCATCAAATCTAGCAACTCAAGAATGAAGCTGAACCAAACGGTAAGGCAGGAAAGATATTAAATAACTAAGTTCATTTAAGTTTTATACATCTAGTGGATTCAGACAAATGGAAAAATATAGATCAGAAAGATGGGTGCACAAAATTACCTGCTCTTCTCTTGTAATAGTATGTTGACCAGCACATAACTCTGCACATACTCCCATTCCAAAATCATTGTAGACGTCCCATAGGCCATCTTTGAGCATGCCATCAATAATAGTGTCATGTCCTAGACGAGATCCCTTTCTGCTGATATAGAAAAAATAAAGATGGTTGTAACTTAGAGGAGCAAATAACGTTAACACGGTTTGACAGCAATATACATGTTAGATACGTCTGGATGTTCCATAAAATTGGAAAGTTTTAATGGTCATTTAGACTGTTCCTGTTGGTACAGGTCTTCATTTCATGAAATCCTAAACTGATCCTATCTTATTGTTTGGGGCAACCCAAACAATAAGATAGGATCAGTTTAGGATTTCATGAAATGAAGCTGTTTAGAAGGTAAAATATCATCATAATAGTGAGTGCCAATTATTTAGTTGATCCAAAAAGACCTTGTCAAGAAAAAAATAGGTATAAAAAGTTAAATGGAGCAAAGAAATTTCCATGAGATATCCCAAATAGCTTTGTTAGTACAATTATGGAGTAATACATACATTCAACCAACAACCAATTGCAGACATGACCAAATGTATAATATGTAACTCAAGAGACTAATACAACTCTTCCCAGATATGCACATCAACCTAAGTAAAATCTCCATTCAAACAGACAAGTTGGAGCATACGTCTCAAAGAAGAAACCAACTCATGTGGATCACCCTAACATTGTGTGTGTGCGCGTGCGCACACGTATGTGCTACATTATCTGTGAATTTACCATTCTTATGGAAAAGAGGATGGCTTCAAAAATAGTAAAGTGTTCATAAAAATCCTGCAGCTGTACTTGTCATCAATTAACAACCTTAAACATGTACTAAAATTATAAATTGACTGACATCTCCATCTAATCTCAATCAAAGGGCCAAGGTGCTGTAACAATTCAATTTTGACTCAATTTAGATCCGCAGCTTGTATATTATTTATTGGACTTGTCATAAATAATTTTTGACATAAAAATTTGTTTTAACAGAAAATTAGGCAGCAGGAAGAAAAAGAAATTAATGTTTAATCATTAACAAGGCGAACCTCGCTTCAGCCAGATATTTAGGTGCGTTAGACATGCTTTCCATGCCACCAGCAACAACAACATCATTGATACCCATTTGAATAGTTAGTGCTGCAAGCATCGTTGCTGTGATGAAGTCATAAAACATGTTACCAGACTTTCATATTAGCTTGCAGAAATTAAACCCATTCTCTATAGGTAGAAAGCCCACCTTTCATCCCTGATGAACAGACTTTGTTAATGGTGGTGCAAACCACTGTATTAGGTATACCTGCACCTAAAGCAGCTTGTCTAGCAGGAGCTTGGCCTAAATTTGCACTGAGAACATTTCCAAAGAAAACCTCTTGCACCAGTGATGGATCAACATTTGCCCTTTTAAGAGCACCTATAGAGTACAGTAAAATGGATAGGGAAAACATTTCAAGCAACGTGTTTGAAGAGGCAGAGCCATAGAAGAGGCAAAGGTGAAAGGTTGTTATCTAATGATCTTACATTGAATGGCTATAGAACCAAGCTTTGTAGCTGACAAAGATGAAAGGGAACCAAGGAAGCCACCCATAGGTGTCCGTGCAACGCCAACAATACAAACATCTGCGTGAAATTTAACATGATACCGCAACAAACCCACAACAATTAACCAGAAGGCTAAAACTTTAAGTTGGCTATAGCTTCTAGAATAAGAAAATACCTATTACATGCATAATATCATAAACAGCAAGAACAAGAACAAACAAGTGAAGAACGCAGGGGCAAGATAATTATGGTCATCATTTAATAAGCAAAATATTTGAAAAAAAAAAAAAAAAAAATATAGATTGATAGATTATTTTGTCCATATAAAAGAAAATTTCTTTTACAAATTTTCTAAGTCTTCAAAGAGAAACCCAATTATAATACGTTAAAAAAAGAATTATGAATATATTATACGATTCAGAAATAAATAAAATTATCAAATCCCTAAGAAAAAAAATGAAGGGGATTGAGAACCTCGAGGCTTAATGGAAGCCGAAGATGCTTCTGGCGTTGGAATCATGGAAGTGAGCAAGAAAAACCTGCCAACAATAGAAAAAATGGAAATTAAGACGAAAAGCTAAGAAAATAGAAAAGTGGATTAGCATTGAAGGTTTTTTATTAGAACGGAATGGGATTCTAAATAGATTAAATGTGGAAACACGCGTAATTATGTTAGGATCAAACAAACATACAAAAAGTGGAGAATTGGTGAAAAATATAGTGATGAGTGTGAAAGAGCTTTGATTGAGCTTAATCATAATAGATAAACAAATTAAATTGGCGACAAAAATGAATCGAACTCTCAACTGAAGCAACCAAATTGGCGACATGCGTACCTGGGTTTTAGACTTTAACAGAAGCCCGACTATGACTCCGAGTGTGCGAGACGATAGAATCTATATATGTTATGTATGTGTGTGTGTGTGTGTGTGTGTATATATATATATATATATATTAAATAGATGATAGAAGAGAGACAGTCGCGACTGTCGGACAGAGGAGCTCACCCGTGATGAAGGCTGGGCTTCCATTTTCTAATTATAAAGTTTTGAGATAATGGCATCTTGAATAGCGTGTACAATTAGTAGTCTGTGGACTTTTCTGAAATTAACGTCATTTGTTACAGAAAACAATAAAGGTAATTTCCGAAGAAAAAAAAAAAAAAAAAAAAAAAACAACGAGGTTGAGTGAGTGATGGGAGTTATGTTAGGACTTAGGAGGGTGTTTGTTTACCTGAACTCATTTTATAATAATAAAAAAAAAAATTGTATTCCTTTTAATCATGAATAAATAATAGTCACTATTTCTTAGCTTTAAATTTGATTTTAATAAATTGTGAATTAAACTTCATTCGAAATTGGTCTTGTGACGTGAGAGGGATGAAGACGAGCGGAAAATTTATTTGGATACTTCATTAAACTTTATTTATGAGATTTTAACTTTCTTGTAATTTACAAAATCTAACAAATAAAGAGAGTAACAACAAAATTAAGTTACAAAGCAAATTTCTTTCCAATAAAGGGTCAAGCCGGGTTGTAGACAGGTGTCTTAAGGCCCAAAGTGGGACTGTACCAGGATCCAGGATTATAAAACGATTCAGGCATGGTAGTGGTATGGACAATACTTGGCCCACAACGTTTTGTTTCTGAGTTAGTAGTATAAAAATAAATCATCCGGTGCCTATATCATTGAAAGAATGAGAAATCTATATGAAATTGAGAGTTGACAAAATTAAATTCACCCATTGGAGAAGAATTTGCACCTTTCATGCGCTTAGCCAGAAAGCAACACTCCTTTAGCGGGATTGTGCGACTTATAATTATCCAACAGAGTGAGACTCGGCTGTGTCCCACGATGTCATTTTAACTCCATGATTAAGCTTTTGATAATTGTGGAAGCTTTACGACCTGTTTGATTTTAATTCTTTGGAGGCAGTTTTCTTTAAAGTCCTAGAAAGGGAATTTGTTATAAGAGAAGCATAAAGGGGTGTTCTCTGAAAACAATCTTTTCTTTAATTGAGTCTACGAAAATTGTTTTCAAAAAATTCTCAACCAAATGAAATTCCTACTATTTTTGTGTTTTCTATTTCTTTACAAATTACAATGGTTACCTCTAATTAAATATCAATGCTCCCAACACTTTGAGGTGTCGTTTGCTGCTGTATACCATGATCGATTAGTAGCATCCATCAGCACAAAGGTGTATAGCAAGCACAAAGGTGTATCTTTTCATTTCTAACAAAAATACAGGTTTCATGTACACAGACGGACCTTTTACATGAATGAGATCTGTAAGCTGTGAAGAAATGGTCCACTTTCTTTGGTTACAAGGTCGATTAGAGAACGCTCCTGAAGGTGAGGTTGATTCGTATGGCCTCTGCTTTTGCTCGTTTAGGCACCGAGTGGACCCAATCCCGCTGGGTATAGCCTCTCATCAGCAGCAGTGAGCCATGCTTCAATGTAAATGAATGTTGGTCGGAATGGCTATTCTTCTTTGGTCGCTTGCTAGGAGGTTCGCCCTCACCTCTTTTTTCTGCTGCCACTCACATGACACAGCAAAGGTAAACATAAAATTGATGGAAGTTGTATTGCAGTCCAGAAGCATAACAACTGATAAAGTTATACTAGGAAATTGCGGATGGTACTTCAGTCAATTCTACGGGACTGAAAAATTGATGCATTTCGTTCTAGTGCCAGAAAATCAGTTGGGAATTTATTATAAATATGGAGGTAAATAGTGGAACTTCTTCAACCAAAATAAACACGAGCAACAACCAAAGCCATGAGTCTCAGAACATATGAACATAAACTGAACCAACAAGATTTGACATCAAGAAACAGGTCAGATACCCAAAAATGTGACAAGATGGTTGATTTACCTTGGGGCATTTTACTTGGTTTCTTCTTTAATAGGAACTCCCGCTCACATCCAAAGGAAACTGAAGCAATCTCTGGAGTTGGACCATAAAGCTTCTCATCATCAGCATGCCAACCAACGTAGTCGTTGCCACCTTTATACCTATTTAAGAGTAAGCTATTAAAACTACTCCCGGGAAGTGCTTTGTGGACCTACAAGTAAGAAGTGCAATGTAAGAGAACATTGGTGGGCATACCATGCGGCAAAGATGATTAGAATTAGTAGTATGAACATAAAACAGTCTTACTGCCTCCAAAATGTCCTTGAGTGGAGGAAAGTCATCCCAAGAGTATGCGTGAGGCTGATACCCACTGTAACTTAGTTCTGGCAATCCTATACTGGCAACATAACAAGTGTCTCTAGGCTGCAGAGGAAAATTTTAGTTATGTCCACAGACATGAACACAAAATGTTGAGCAGGATTAATAATTAAACACAAAATTGAAGGCGAAATTAGATACAATCAACAATCATTACCCAATATCTCATCATCATCCTTGCCTTAATCCCATATGAATTGGGTGGCACACATGAATTCTCTGTTTCCATTCTATTCAATTACAAGCCATCTCTCCTCTAATATTTAAAATATTTGTAACGATTTCATAATTTTCATCCCATGTTAATTTCGAGCACCCTCTGTGTCTCCTACCCTCTAAGCAAATTAATCTTCCTCCTCTCACCAGTGCATCTATAGCTCTTCTATGTATATTTCCATACCACCTAGTCTACTCTCTCTAATCTTATCACATCCAACTAAAATAAGAGATTCACCATGTAATTTATTTTGTTCTTACCAAATATTGATGCAGGGGATTATTCATGCTGTATATAAAAGAGAACTGAGGGACAAAATGTGAGAATCTGATGGACAAGTTAGCAGCATTCTGGAAAAAATTTGACATACTAGAATCGAATAAGTTATACCGCCTAATCCCCAAAGAACCCTAAATGGGCTTCTTCAAATTATTATATATATATGCACATAAATACATATATTTATACGGAACTGAAATGTACAGACCTGGACGCAGGAGCGGCCGAAAACGCGAATAGTAGGTCTGGTCCATGGGATCTCTTTGTTGAGGTAATCCAACCATTTCCATGACTCGTTGAAAGACAGAAATCGTGGAACGTAAACGACCTCGCTTCCATTTCCAAGATCGATTGTCTGTCGTTTGGCTCCTCCATCAGGATTAGGGCTTGTTGATTTAGAATTTGCTATAAACTTGAGATTCATTGTGTTTGTCCCCGCGCGCGGCCAAGAGAGGACGACTGGTTTTCATGTGTCATTATAATTGTAAAAAGGAGAGGTTAATGGTTAAAATTATTTGCAGTTATTTGAAAAATATTTCAATATTTAAAAATAAAATAAAATTAGAAACATAAATTGTTTAATAGTTATAACTTATAAACTAACAAAAATTCAATTGCTAAGAACAAATTACACAAATCTGAATAGGATCTTTTTATATTAAAAATAAATAAAAAATTTGATAATCAAATCAATTTTTGCACAAAATTATAATTGTATAAAAAATTGTTTTCATTAAAGAATGGTATAGAATTGAGAAGTATAAAACAAAAAGATTTTCAAAAGTACCACTTAGAACTTGGTGGTCTTTAAAAATTAAAAATATTAAAGTACAATTAGAACTTAAGTTGCATTTGGTGTACAAAAATAGAATGAAATACAAGTGAGAATTGAATGATTTGATTATTCACTTTGGCCCCAAATATGAAATGTGTTAGAATTGAATGATAATAACCATTCTTTGGTTGGACCAATTTAAAATTTATAATAGAATAAATTTCAAATTAAATTCTCCCAACCACAAATGAATTAAATTAACAAAATAATTTTTTTAATAGATTTTTTTTATTTTGTTCCGCCCATAATAGTTGCTTCCGGCATTGTAAAGCACCCCAAACTCCATCTCTGGAGTGGTCTTAAATAAGATTGGAACTCCCTTCTATAGGTTAAAAAATCTCTATAAAATTATGGTAGCTACATTCTTTTTAGTACCACAGTTTAGTTATGGTAATTGCTCAATCAAAAACTAAACTAATTAAAAATGAAAGAATTCTTGACCATAGTTGAACATTGAAGATAAAATAAAAACTGTTATAACATTAAATTGATTGAGAGAGAGAGAGAGAGAGAGAGAGGGAGGGAGGGAGGGAGAGGATATGATGGCATATAATTTGATTGATGATGAACTCCAAAAGGTATTATTAGTCTGTTCAATTCCCCCTATTTGACCAACCTGATTCACCCTGACCTAGTAGTCATAAACCAACAGTTTGTAGTTTCGTAGACAACATTTTTCGCAATGTCTTAACATCGATAGATATCATCAACCACCTGCAACACCACTTTGGAAGTATGAAACCGTCACACATGAACAGCCATAATTAACCATACTTCATAAAAGTGGACAAGTCAGACCAGCTACTTACCAAAAAAAAAAAAAAAGTAAAAACCAAGCCATAGACCAACTGAGAGAGAGTGAAGAGCATGAAAGTAAAAGCAATCTATCTCTTTGATAGCTTAAGGATTTACACATGAAGCTACTAACCTAAAACAACTCCCCAGGTCAAGCTACAGTGTATGCTAATTATAGCTGTACATGAGGTCTAAACAATTTAATCAACCATGACAACCATTGGTGCATACCCCCATGGACCTTATAACTTAACCATCCACCAGTGTAGGAAAGACTGGGTTACGTACAGGACTGCACAAGCTTTTTTGCCCAAACATGAGACTGCCTATATTGTCATCCTTTCTAAAACATTGCAGGGAAATGCACTGCACATTGTGATTTATTACTGTAACATAGTTAAATGGCATGTATCATCTTCACTGTCAGCTGACAAGGACTACCATACCAACTTCACATAAGGCAGTCATATCACCATTTCTCTGTGGCTTCGTTATTATTATCCAAGTGGTGTCATGACCTCATTGATATCCTATTTGCCTTGGACTGATTTTCCCACATGACGCTTCCACGTGCTCTGCATTATTTAGACAAAAGCTGAATAAGTATCTAGAATGAAAGCAAACCAACCTTAACAGAAATAATATAAAATGCAAGACTGAAGGCACTTACAAGAGGCTCATCATCAGAAATTTCTGCCTCCCCCATATCAGAAGAAGCTGAAGTATTCTTGTCAGATTCATCTCGGTCTGAGTGAGTATTCTCAGCATCGTCGTCTTCTTGATTCATTTGAGAATCTGATTGCTCTTCTTTATCAGCCCCCTCTTCAGAGGCTTCCTTTGATACATCTGATTGTTGTTTCTCTTCTGAATGAGATCTCCCTTGTTCATCAGAAGCCTCAGCATCATGAAAGGTGACCGTTGCATACTTGGTCCGTTTCCGTTCAGGTTTACAGTTTTCCTCCTCAGATTCTTCTTTGTCACTTGGGCTATTATCAGCATCCCCCACTTGTTTCTCTTCGTAAACAGATTTCTCATCCTTGTCTGACTCCTCCCCGCCTGTTGAACTCTCCTCCTTTCGTTCAAGTTGCTCTCCTTCTGAATCACCTGGAAGAAAAACACATATACATGTGCATATATACAAGAGACATTAATCCCTGCAAAGGATTTGCAATCTTACAAATAAGAGTAAAACCTCTTGTACAGTGACGGTGAGGTTTGAACACAGCCAAGAAATTCAGCTTATTCTAGCACAAATGATACCAATTCAAGAAGCAACAGAAAAACATTGCAGTTCTACAAGCTTAATTTAAATATTGACTTCAATAAACCATATTCAAAACCCAAAGAAAAAATTTGAATTTACACACACAATGAGAAGAAATATATAATAACTTCCAAACACCCAACATTATGTAGTTGTTTTAAATTTTTGTGAGACATTCGTGTTATTACCAGGAAGGTATATATTAGTAAAATTTTAATTAGGGCAGTGATTTATTTTAACTTTGAAGCACTTGATTTGATGAAAAACGGAAGAGTATCATGGCACCCACAGTTTAGACTGATGGGAGGGGAATTTGTAGAGCCTGTAGATCCTTTTGTATTCGCTACTACACAGCTAAGTACCAATATAATAAAAATCTACCTTTAGCATCATTATTTTGCACAAAGTGACTAAAGACATTTATATTTTCACACTTCCGATCTTATATACACAAATAAAAATCTATAGACTAAAACGCTTGGTAGCAATACATGGAAAACCTTGGGGGACAAAAATAGAAAAGGAACCTCATGTGCACGCAGGGGTGGGCCCTGAAATTTTCATCTAGGGATTGAGTTGGTAGTTTGAAAATAAATTTTATAAAGAGGAAAATTTTTCTTTACAACAAAATTTTGGAAACTAGACCTAAGGAGATTGATTGTAAACTAAAAGTGTATCATAAATCACTAAGTACATAAAATGAGAAAAATAACCACCATCTACTCTAAAACATTAAGCTGTCAGAGAGGGTGTAACTTCAATATTTAAACCCTTCTACACGCCCCCTCATGTATGGCCTTCTTTTGGTCAAACATGTGTTTCAAAATAAAGGATGTAACCTGCTCTGATACCATGTTAACCACTACCTACTCTAAAAGCTTAAGTTGATAGAGAGTGTGTAACACTGTAACTTTAACATTTAAATCATTCAACGGGACTCAAATTGAGGTTCTTTCAATTTTAAGAAGGACCACATAGTGCTCTCATCTCAACTTTACAAAGATACATTTTATCAACATGACCTTATTTTTTGGCTATTCAGAACCAATGTGTGCAATATGCGCACGCTTATTACTTCTAAATATCCACAACTTCACATGTTTTGAGATACAAATATTGCAAGGACAAACTAAGCTCTTAAAAAAAGATCCACGCACGAGGCAGTGAAAGTCAATATTTTTTTACACAATGGCGAGACTTCTTACCAGAGTCCATATCATCAACTTTAGACAGTGCAGGGGGTTCAGGGTCTGATTCGTCATGGCTCCCTCTGCTCTCAGCTTCACACAAGTCTGTGAGAGTTTTACTTTTTGATACCACCTTCTGCCCCTGCTTTGAAGTTTTCCTCGGAGTTCTTTTCCCTCTCACTTTAGGCGATGAGGATCTGTTACACATTTCAGGGAATCATATGTAAATAAACTGAAAATTTTCACAGTTACACTTGGAAAGCAATGGTCTGCTCACATCTTAGTCGATTTTTTATTTTGCTGCAAACCACTCAAAACCTTCTTTTTCTGCTCCAGTGAGCTGCAAAAGAAAATTTAAATTGAGAAAAGTAATGAAAATAGAGCCACAAGCAGGCTATTGATACTTCGCAGGGAAATTATATCAAAACAAGAAAGAACCATGCTGTGATGTCAACTGATACACAAATCAATACCACCACAAGTCTGTGCAGATATAAAAAATAAAAAATCAGCAATACTTAATCAAGAATGTGAATTAGTGACCAGCACTTACAATCCTTTAGGTGGTAGACCCTTTGATGGTTTTAACCGCTGTAAACAGTTTTAGACCAAAAAATAATAAAAATGCAAAATGTCAGCGACGAAGCCACAATTCATTGCTTCACTTTAAATTAGAAATTCAACAGTTTCACATATAGAAAAAATACTGAAAAAGGGGAAAATTAAGACCTTTATAGACTTGCGACCATTGTCAATGAGCTCCCAGCGCTCCTTCTCTAGATGAAGCACCTCCACATCCCCATCATTGTATAATACCTTAGACAAAAAATCAATTAAAGAAAATTATGTCAGAGAACCATTAAGATTGTAATTATAACATTATTGACAATAAGTCTCCAGAAAACATGATTGGTTAGAGATAAGAATTACATAAGGCAGGAAATTGCTGCTTACCAGATGTTTGTTTTTTTGAGGATCAAAGGACTTTACAACTCCTTCATAGAACCTGTTCATTTCAGTAACAAGATACATCAAGATAGCATGCTACTTAAAATTTGCATCCAAAGTTAGAATCACGCGCAAAGAAGGCACACAGCATACTACTATGCGAATTAAGGATTGCCATTATTCAATATGAACAAGGGTAGAGTGCAAAGAACACCTCCATAGTATAGTGTTTGTGCAAAATAACCCCCTAAAATTCAATATGTTCCTCCCCACCCATTGTTTAAAAAATGTTGCAGAGTCTCCCCTTCCATCTAGCATCTGTAAAAAAATGATCATTATGCATGCGACATAAAGTAAATGTGAATTCCCAAGAATACCCTTTTACCATGACGAAAATGTCCCTCTACACATTGTTTATATAATGTACATATTTGCACTACTCACAGTAAGCTCTCTCTCTCTCTACATATTTTATATATATATAATTGAAACCCAGTAAAAGTTCCCTTTTGTTATCTCTCTCTCTCTCTCTCTCTCTCTCTATATATATATATATATATATATCTCATATACAATTCATTTCCACTGCCCAATTATTAGTCACCAATTCTCCTCTCTACACCCAAATTCCCTCCTCCACTCCAACCCTAGACACCACCACAACCTCAACCACAGACCCCCTTACTTTTATCATCATCTTTTCGAAGCGGAAGCACACCAACGGAAGCAGAGTGCCCTGCCCCACTGGATCAGCAACTCATAAACAAATATCAGTCATTGTCCACCTCTTTCCCCTTCTTTTGGCCCTCTGACGACTTGGTAGAACACTGATTTGCTTGTTCTTCACAGGGGCTTCCTTTCTCTCTTCATGAGACTACCCGTTTCAGTATTCAGTAACGTTGGCTCCAAAACGGAGCCGTTGAAGCAGGTCTCGGGTGCAGTCTATAGTAGGATATTGGGGACTCTCTCGTTGTTGTGAAAATGTATATGTAGTTGGGCATATATCCAATTGCTAAGTGCCATTGTTGAATGAAATCCATTTTTTCTTTTTTGGATTGCTTTGATTTATTTGGTTAGTTCTTTTGAAAATTTGACTTCTGTTTGTGGTGGGTGGGTGGTGGGGGGGAGGAAGAGAGAGAGAGAGTAGGATTGAGAGAATAAATCAGCGCAAACTGATGGTTGAGGTTAATTGATGAGAGTTACATTTTATCCCAGAACGACAGTTATTTTACTTTTTTGTCTCAAGAAAAGAAATGATGATCAATAACTTCAGCAGTAAGAAAAAAAAAAACTCCATGCAGTCTAGGGAAACTATTACAATTGGAATGACAAATTAACTGACAAAAATTTGGAGTTGTGATCGAGACTTGATATGACCTGTAGCGATTCAGAACATCAAATGTTTATGGAGCTAGCAAGTTCAATAATGCTCAATATTAGTGCAAGTAAAACTCATATGCCCACTCTAAACATGAATAAAGAACCTAAATTTAGGAAAGCCCTGTACACCCATAAAAAGAAAATGTATGCATAGAGATACTGATAATTAAGCATAAAAGTCTTGAGAGAAATCAAACGAGCATCAATCTAATGCTTGTGTTATATGGGAAAGAAAATAATCAGGAGTCTGTTTTTGGACAGAGATTGATGCCAAATAAATAAGGAAGATTTACACATTCTTCCCTTGTTAAACTAAGGGCAATAACTCTTATCTTTTCTTAATTAAATCAACAAAATACTCACTTCTTATCCATTGGCCACCAAACTTTTATTCTGCAACCAATCAAATCCATGGTATGATCTCCACGTTCCTTTGTTGTGCACTGAATAAACAAAGCAACAGGTCAATAAATGGCATACATTATGAGCACTCTATAATTCTAAATTTTAAGAGAGAGAAAAAAAAAACCAAACTGAGAACCAACAAACCACACATCTATAAACCAAAGTTGCAATGTTGTATACACAAGCCATTAGAACCATTGCCTTCGCCATGAAATAACCGTTCACATTGATATCAGTACCAACTCGGAGAACTTTTGAAGCCTCGGCGCTTCTTCCTTTTGACGGTTTAGCCTCAGTTTATTATCAAGCTTTCAAGATGGATTTTTTCATTGTCATACAGTACAGTATACATAGGGTACAACTAGGAATGGCAACAGGGCGGGTATGGGAAGATGAAGTGCCACTCTCAGCCCTCATCTAAGAAGCCCTCATACCCACCCCTGCCTCCCCCAACCCATGCCATAAAGAGAGGAGGATGTGGGGCTAGGTGAAGATGGTAGATGAGAGAACTCTCAACCAGGAATAACTTCGTACTCATCATTAATGGGAATGGAAGAGGATCAGGACGAAGGTTGCATCATGCATTTTCAAGGGTGAGTTCTATGGATTTAGTTGAAACTGTGAAATGTTCTCACTTATTAATCTGTTTAATTTCGGTAATACAGCCCTTCATTTATTAGTCTGTTTCAATTCTAAGGGTAAGCTTCCTTGATTCCGTTGGAACTACGGAAGGCTTTCAGATATTAACCTGTAATAAACTCAAGTAATGTGGCCCTTAGATCAGAAAAAATCAGATCCTAGTATATGTGAAGTCGGGAAGGTCAATTTGTTGAATTTGTATATAGTGAATAGTTGAAATTATGGCTTCACAAGGAAGTCACGGCAGGAATCTTCAAGAAAACAAAGTCCTTGCATTTAAACTGACGGGACCTTTGGTTTTAATCGAGTACTCCTGTGATAGATGCAATGGTGATCTGACTCTGCTTCGAAGGAATTGCTCAGGACAGCAGACTCACGAGACATAGATAGTGCTTTTTGACTATACTGTGCCTAAGGAAATTCATCACTCTAGAGTCAAGAGTCAACTATGCTCTGGTTTCTGCAGCATATTATTGCTGGCAATGGATCTTATACATTTTCGGAACGGTAGGAATATCACTCTTTCTTTTGCCTCTCGAGGCAATGAAGGTGCTCTTATTTTGGAGAACGTAATTTACTTCACCATCAAATGCATGGTAAGTAACCTGAAAGACGAACTTACTGTGATCTATCTTCTGCCCAAACTTTAAATGATGTCTACTTGTACATAAAGCTTCAGAAGATACTTCCCCTTGCAATTCACCTTTTTATTACATTGCCAAAAACTTAAATAACAACCCTGACATTTCATCCCCCTAAGATGATCTGAAGTGCTAAAGTGAGCCAAAGGATAAGGTTTTGATTTGGTAATGACACCCAAATAGGTAAATTGCAAAGCAGAATTATGGAACAGTTTGGAGATTTTCATCCAGGATCCTGTTTCGGTTTCCTATCCTATTTACCAAGGGTTATTTGACATGATTGGTCCATCTGAAGGCTCCTTTGCAAGTCTCTTCTATGATTAAATTCTCTCAGTAGCTTTCTTTAGAATGGAAGAAAGAGGTAAAGTTCATTGCAAATCTGTCTCTGCGCAAAATGATAGTCTTTTTACAAGGGTTTGCCATTACATTTTCGCCTGTTCATAGGCTTCTCTCATCAGTGAGTTGAGAGTTAAGCTGAATATGATTGTTGTTGCGTAAAATGATAGCCTTTTTACAAGGGTTTGCCATTACATTTTCGCTTGTTCATAGGCTTCCGTCATCAGGGAAATTCAGGTGACCTAGCTTAATATTGAAATTGCCTTCAAAAAACACCTTGGGAATGTTTCTCAGCCAATTCAAAGCATAGCATTTTCAATAACAATACGGACAACAAGATTCTTGCCATGTTGGAAAGGTATGCGTGTTTAATATAGAGATGAAAAGATAGTGATTGAGGATATCCGTGCACCATCATCAGATGGATAAGAATGCTTCAACTAATGAGATATTAGTGAATCTTTTTAGTACCAACAGGATAAAGCATCATTGGGTCCTTCGGATGCCAACAAGAGTTCCTTCAATAATGTCAGTTGTATCCCATTTTTTACTTTTATTTTTTGGTTTTTCTGGTTGTCCGCTTTCATAGTTATGTTTTCTTTTTTTCAAAAGAAACCCTTGTTCGACATTGGCTATATTTCATAGTTTCACTTATAAAGTTCCATTTCTAATTAATGAGATAGCACAATTATAAAATTTCATTAGTTATAAGTTAACAAGGATGTTACTAGCATATACTTCTGCATACCCAGTTTGTGTAAAACTAGCCTAATCCAATCCTTGTAGTAAAATGATGAATAAAATAACTATAACCAGGGATAAACAGCAACATGTGGAAATAAGTTCATTATAATTATATTATACTATCACGCTACAACGCACCAAGCGTAAATCACGATATGTTGAGTAATGAGTGAAAATAGAACTAGTCAGATGCATGGCATTTAAGTCCACATCGACAAGAAGGCACATTTTGTTGCATAAAAGATTGTGGGACAGACTGGACAAACTGACCTTAGCCAATCCTGCAACGCTTCTTCTTTTCCGCTTCTTAACAGATCCCGTGGGTAAATTGGAATTATTTGCTTTTACAATATTAGTCTCCATAAGCTTATATGTCTTCTGGGGAAGAAGAAAAAGTAAATAAAAATATGATATCAATAACTAGGAAAACATTGGGTGCATATAGGCTAATAGCTAAGAAAACAAATTAATCGTTCGATATGCTCACCTTCAAGTGACGGGCATCAGGTACTCCAGTTTCATGACCCTCGTTATCACCATTATCAGAATTACCGGCTTTATGTTTCAATAAAAAGCCTGAATTCTTTTGAAAGCACGATACCAGCAAGTCTGACTCAGCAGGCTCAACAATATTTTCTTGCAACGACATTATATCTTCTGAATGAATGGGAAGACCCTCATCAGCTTCAGTGGATTCAAATTTAGGTAATTTAGCAGATGATGACCTCCGGCGCTTGGGTATTGAAACATTTGTCGACTCGCTCACTATTTGTCTTTTCCTTTTTCCATGCTTTTGATCAATTTTAGTTTTTCCAGGAACATATTCATGGCCATTGCTAGATTCAAACTTACAAGACATGTCTAGGTTATCCAAATTTATCTCCCTAACCATACCCAAGATATCAACATCATTTTCGTTTTTCTTTTCAGCTGGTAAATTCTCGTTCTTCACCACTTTTCTTGCCTTGGCTCCCTTCGCTTTTAAACGTTTTATCATTTTCCCCAAAGGAACTTCATTACCATCTATTTCTATTTCTATTTCACTGTCTTTCAGAGCCTCATCCTCAGCATTTTCTGAATGAACCTGATATAAGGCAGTAGAACAAAAGGATATTATCATGTCCACAACAGATATTTCACTATAACTTTCCATGTAGCTGAAAGCATTCTTGAGATATAGAACATACCATTCCATTAGCTTCTAATTTAAGTGATTTGAAGTGGGTCAAGACACTCTCATCAGCCAACCACGTTTGCCCTTCGCTGGCCTGTCAAATTCGAATGAAAACACATAAGACTTATTAAATCACCATCAAGCTACAATAGCCTAAGTTAACAATTCTGGTATATAATTTACTGCCCTGAGAATACACAGGAAATATCACAATTTTGCACAAGTATCAAGGAAAATATGAAAAGTTTTCATCAAATATATTTACATGTCAAAAAAAAATTATGACTAAGCACGAAACATTCACATGGTTGTACATGTGCAAAATCTACTTATAAAAACCACTTGTTCGTGCAAATTTTTTTTTTGATAAGTCATTTGTTCCTGCATTTATCAAGTTCAAATATACTTAAATTTTGGGTCATATAACTTTTACTAAAACCACACACTATAATGTCTTTTCGTATTCCTCAATCCATGTTAACTTTTGCCTTCCCATCTCCTGCATATTTTCCAATGTGAATCACGTAACTTTGTTTGTTGTATGATTGTTGGCCTTCCCAGCACATAATAAACCCTGTTATTCAGCCTTCTCTTAATTTAACTCCATTTGAAGCTACTTCTACCATCTCCAATTGCTTCAATATTTTCAATTAGTTCTTATTTATATATCAATATATAGACTCTGATTTTGTATCACGACAGTGTGGCTACCATCGAGTCAAATAATTGATAACTCTAATTTTAGGAGAGATGGATACTATGACCAAATTCAAGATCTATAATTGCTGATCAGGTAAGTAGATGGATGATCCTTGTGTCAGAATAACTAAAAAGGTCTAAATTCTGTAGATTCTGGAAACTTAAAAAGAATTCATAAAAGGTTTCCTCAGCTTGAAGCCTCAAATTCACACTGATAAACAAAATTAATTAATTCTTACCAGGGCCGTGTTCCAATCTAGGCCTTGAAGTACAACAAATATTGTTGACATGGCTTAATTGACTATACTCCACTCGAACTTAACAAAGTCTTTTTCCCAACTACTTGGAGTCAGCTAGATGAATCCTATATTTCCATTTTGCTCTTAAGGCCATATCCTCAGTTAAACCACATGTTATCATATCTTTCCCTACTAACTCTACCCACCTTAACTTTGGTCTTCCCTTTCCCCTAGCATTACAGTCAATGTGGACCATGTCACTATTTCTAACTGCGCACTTGGTGATCTTCTTCGCACATGACTGAACCATCTTAACTGATTTTCTCTCATTTTAGCTCAATTTGGTGCTAATTCAACCATCTCATGAATCTGTTCGCTTTTAATTTTATCCTTTCTTTTCTTCCCAAACATCCATCTCAGCATTTGCATTTCCACCGCACTCACTTTATGCATATATTGTTTCTTAATTTCCCAATATTCTGTCCCATAAAAAACAGCCGGTCTAATAGCTGTTTTATAGATATTCCTTTTCAATCTTAGAGGGATACACCGATTCACACAAAATGCTAGATGGACTCCTCCATTTGACCCATCTTACTTGAATGTATTCATGTAGTCCTACTTGGGGTGCATAACCACTAACAATATTAATTATATTGCCTCCCACCACAAGTTTCACTAATGTTATCGTATCCTGTTTTTGGACATCTTTTAAATTCTTTTAATGATTATCCCTATTCCATTTCTATGTCTATCATTTCCAGTATAATAACATTTATATCATGTGTTCTCAATTTCTCTAGCTTTTTCTCCTATTTACTCGTTTTCTAGCAGACATACTATATTAACCCTCATTCTAATCATAGTGTCTACCAACTCTATTCATTTATCTATCAGTATTTGTATGTCAGTGTGTATGCTGGCATAATAAGTAGTATAATGAACTCCTCAGTCCTCACTTTTTCTTTGGCGGGACATGTATGATGGATTTACAAGATTGAAACAACTTTAAAAAAGATACAAAAAATGATAAGATACGAGCAAAATTCCAATCCAATAGGCATTACTTCATACTATGCTCGTACCGGTACAGCTTCCCTAATCTATTCCTCTCCTCTTTTTCCCATTTGCCATTTTTTTCTCCCATGAAGAATTCAACACTAACGGGTTTACAATGGAGGGTAATCCATGAGTCGGCAGATTTTACACTTTATGAGATTACCATATCGTCTTTGTTTTGGAAGAAGTTCATGGCAGGACATGTATAATGGATTTACATGATTGAAACAACTTTTAAAAAGATACAAAAAAATGATAAGATACGAGCGAAATTCCAATCCAATAGGCTTTACTTCATACTATGGTCGTACCGGTACAGCTTCCCTAATCTATTGCTCTCCTCTTTTTCCCATTTGCCATTTTTTTCTCCCATGAAGAATTCAACACTAACGAGTTTACAATGGAGGGTAATCCATGAGTTGGCAGATTTTACATTTTATGAGATTACCATATCGTCTTTGTTTTGGAAGAAGTTCAAGGTGTTGGGAAGAATACAGGGACCATCAGAAAAAAGAGAACACCAAAAGAGGTCTCTATATACCTTAGTATAGATTGAATGAGAATTTGAACTGAAGAGGCAGCAATAATACAACTCAAAATGAAAGAGTAAAAATATACTATTAGCTATCAAAATCTTTTAAAAACTAATATCAAGTTGTTCAACTCGACTAAAAGAAAAAATCAAAAAGAACAAATAAAAAAACAAATGTGAAGTTGAAACTTCATACAGAAACACAAAAAGAGCCTTTTATTGATGGAATTCAAAAATAATCACAATACTAATATAGAATAATGAATCATAACTGCTAAACAATAAAATTTCAGAAATTGCATCTGCACTACAATATGCACCATAGCTACCAAAACTACAGCAGGAAATTAGCTGCCATTACTTCTCCTGGTGTTTCATATTTTTGGAGAACTTTAAGTAATAATGCAGTGTAAATTAATGAAAAAAGTTAAATGAGGCAATTTCAACACAATAGTACATCTGCACAACAATGTGTATCACATCTAACCAAACACATGAAGAAAATCAACTTTTCTTGTTTCCCTAGACATTCTACCATTTGTATACAGATCAAAGACAGCAGATGAGTTTCAAATAACTTACTTGTGGCTCATCCCCATCTTTTTTCTCATGCAACTTGTAAAGCATTGGAGGAAGGGACACTGATGCAGTTGATCCCTGAAGATCATCTGGTTTCTGAACCAAGCGCTTGGTAATTGACAGGCCAAGGTCACATATTGCATGTGAGTTCTGTGAATATAATTTGATCTCATCATTAAACATTGAAAAGATAGAAAATTCTTTTTGTTGCTGCTTATAACTTCTTTTATTTTGCTTTTTTCCCTTTCCCTATGCGGGTGTATGGGGTTTGGGGTAAACTTTTTTGGGGGGAAAGGAGGGAGGGGTGAATCCTTTCATTGCTTACTTTGCAAAAAAAACATAAAAGGAGCAATTTTTTAATCCCCTACCTTTGACTTTGATGGCTCAACGATATCTTCTGAACACTTGATATTTCGAAAGATAGATATTACTAAAGAAATACTCTCCTTTTCCTTGTTAACACTAACTTCCGACTTGCCCTCTTCATCTCCATGAACAAGAATGGAAAGAAATAAGTACAACCCCCTGAAAAAAATAGAATAGGACTTGTTACATCACCCAAAAAAAAAAAAAAATTAGACCACTAACATTCAAATCAAACATTATCCATGACAAATTACTCTCAGGAACTGTTTATCAAATCCTCCGGTGTAGGTTTTTCACCAAGAGTTGCATTTAAAATACTGTCATGATTCATGAGATAATTCAGTTTTGATAAGAAGATTTCAATAAAAAAGAAGGAAGAAACCCCATGTAAACAATCATATACAAGATTTTCATGGTTAATGACCCCATTCGGCAAACATTTCAAAAACTATTTGAAACTTAACCTTAATGCTCCACACTAGCGTTTACATTAATAAAAGTCTCTAAGACTTCCATTTTATTCAATTAAAGAACCATCCACATCCTCAGAAGTTCTCCAATTACTCAGCTTTTAAGTACATGATAGATACCATAAACAGCAAAAATGGGCATGTACATGAAGAAACCAACCAAAGTCTTCAAAGCAAATGGTAAAAGTGACTAATACACACAGTAAATGACACAAAATTATACAAGTTACAAAGACGAAACACACCCTAGAAGAACAATCTGGCACTGACATCATTTAATTCCATAGCAAATAATAATGAACTCGGAATATTTTTCAATTGAAGATATAATTAATAAACAAAAGCATGGATAAGAACATCAAATGATGCCAATGTAGTTTATTGAAGATAATGACACAGCTCCAACACGAAAGTCACGTAATACCTAAATTTATGAGAGTCTTCTGTCAGATTAATGACAAACGTCAAGTAAAAATGTTTACCTCAAGTTAACTATTAGGGCTAGTTTGGTACGGAGGAATGAAATAAGGTAGGAATGCAATGAACCAGAGAATGTATTCCCATTCTCTCGTTTGGTTATGCATGGCTTAAAAAGAAAAACTAATCTATATATATGTAAACCAAATAAATAAATAACTATATATATATATATGTGCATAAATATATATTTTCAATGTATATTTGGAAATTGAGGAGGGAATATCAAGAAAAAGTTGCCTTTTATTGGATCTCGTTGTTTGAGAAAAGTGTGTTAGCAATCACATCGTTCAAGCAAAGTGATTTTTTATATTATTTTTACTCTGTATTTTTTTAAGTGGGAATGGAATGTCATTCCTCTTGTTGGAAAGTGGAATGATTTTAATAGAATGACCATTCTCCGAGAAAGGTGGAGAATCGGCATTCCATCTTTAAAATTACTTTCCAAACAAAAGAATGGAAATAAAGGCATTCCATTCCACTTTATTTCATTCCATTCCCACCTACCAAACTAGCCCTTACAGAATTTACAAAGATTATATTCACTGAAAATCATTGTAAATTCTTTTCAGGTTTTTGAGCTAGAGTATGACCTAAAAATATAAAAAGGCAACTTAAAAATACTTGAACTCATAATGATCTATAGTTAGGTTCATTAAGCGATAAATAAAAGAAAAGTCACTCTACCAGTACAAGCATATATAAGAAAATATGTGTGTGGGTGTGTGTAAGTGAGTTCAGCACTCACTGTGTTCATCAGGTCAGCAAGAAACAAAGGGAACCCATGATTTGCAGTACACTTTCCTTAGCAACAACAGAGATGTCAAACAAATGCCAACACCAATTTGTACAATATAAAATAGTTCACTTTTCGTACCTAAAAAAATGTCCATGAGAAAATTTGAAATGTGGTTTATTTATTTATTGGTGATGGATTTTTCAATTTAATTATAATTTGATAACAAATAACTATTGGTTGATCATTTTTTTTATGTTTTAGCTATGCCTCAATGGAAGCCATGCTACCAATAAATGAAATAACATAACCAATTAAACAATCAAATAAATAGATCCAAGGAACCAAGACAACGCTTCAAACAATGATTTAGATATTCCACGTCAACACGTTATGACTTGAAATAGAATGTGCCTGTGTGAAATATACCTGTATATCAATTCGAATGCTTTGACATCCTTGCATTCATCAACATTTGGACACGCAGAATGATGAGCAAGAGCATGGACCAAGTGTGGGAGAATGTACTCTGGATAAATCATTGGGGAATTTGTATCGCTTTGAAAGGAAGGTTGTCGTACCTTCCCTAGCTGACACATCTGAACAATGTCAATTAAATTATGCTTGTCCTGTCAAATAAATAGGATGAAAAGAAACATTAATGCAAAATCTAGATAATAAATTTTCAAAATCCATTCTATATTTCTATATATTGGGAGTGTGATATATACTTTGATAGAACAAGGAAATATACTATGAAGTGATTTACTGTAGCATCAATACCTCTTCGAAATTTGGCTGTTGCGATTCAATCATGTCAAGTAAGAAGGCACAAGCATATTTTGGGTCCAAAAGCCGGTCCTTTGCATATTGATGAACTTTGTTGAGAAATAGCCTCTTAGCTTGAGGGAAACTGATCTATAAGTCCAATCAAGGAAGAAAAGAAAACAAAAGGGATCAATTTTCAAACTTCAATTTAAAATGAGTAAATTGTTTCTTAGTGAAGATCACAATGAAGGAATTATTTATAATACAAACAGGAGAACCGAATCAAGATACATTCTGATAAAAGATTTAGCAACAAAGATTCAACCTCCGAAGTTCTCAAGGTTAAGTAAAAGACATCAATGGGTATCTCGTGATCCCAGAGCTTTGATAGGCGAAGAATTGCCTTGGCTGCTGCAAGCTTCAAATGGGCCTTATCAATTGAACTGCAAGATGGCAAGGAAGACAAGTATATCATATTATAAGCCTAAGTCAAACTCTCATGTCTTCAATTCCTGTAACAAAAAATCCAACTCCTATGCGGCCAACATTACCTTGATCCAATATCTTCCGAAATTTCTCCAAAAGAAAGAATGTTTTTGAGGAGTCCCAACAGGCCATCAATCCCAAGACGAAGCTGAGCATCTTTGACTGGCAAGTAGCTCTTGACCAATGTTTTAATGCCAAATATCTGAAGAACAAAATTTTACACACTTCATAATGTATATATGGTTTATCAAGGTGGCGTAATGCTACAGAATATACACCAAATAATATTATCTAATTATATCCTGGACCAGTTTTAGAAAAAAATGTCATCTTAGAAATATAATAATTAAAAATTACTGCAGGCAAACTGACCTTTAATGAACAGAGTTCGCTTCTGTCATCCCAACACTCTTTTGATTTATTATCTTCTTTCTGAAACAGGAAAGCATGCATTAGATGAAATTAATTATTATTACATCATAAATGGATGAGAGATATCACAACTCCAGCAGATTTGGAAGGCATACATTACTGCACTCCAATAAATTTCTTTTAATGAATCCTTCAATTTCGCTCTCTCTTGTTTCAAAAACTGACATTGCAGTCTGTGCTATACACCCCAATGATTGTAGTACAGCCGGCAAATGTGTCTTTTCCTCAAGCATATCCACAAGCCTCTGCATATTGTGCAAGAAACATCGTCACATATGCAGATACCGCAATCAAAGTAGACCACGATGTGACTAAAATAGACCAATAGGCAAGGTTTTAAATTGTGGTCATGGTGTAATAGATGTGGGGTGTAATGGGCATTTCATAACGGCAACAAAAACCAGCATTTAAGTTTTTTCTACCTCACCCAGCATAGCCTACACAACCCCATACAGAATTTCCAATTCCAAAATTCAATAAATATGGGTTTGTAATGACTTCTAGTGGATTTTATGAATATTTAAAGGTGATTTAATATGAGTTTTGGCTGTACATTGTATTTTAAGCCTCTCTCATTAGTTTAAACATACAAATTCTGAGATTTCACTTAATTACAACATACAACACATACATTATATGTTGCATAATAATATAATCATACAATTTTATTTTATTTTATTTTTTCATAAGCATATAATCATATACAATTTTATCTTTCTTTTTTTCATAATTACAATTGTATCTTTGAAATCACTAAAATATAAAATTTAAACTATTAATCTAAAAATCAGAGAATAAAAAATTCAGAAATTAATAAAAAAAAATCTTTAAAAACCTTCAAAATCAAAATATGCAAATTTTATGTGATCGATAACACAATAAAATTAATATGTACAAGATATTTTGAGAGTATGGGAGTGTTTAACACTTGCACTTTCAAGAAAATTTAAAAATAATTGAAAAATCAATATATCGGGGGATCTAGTGGAATATCTATAAACAAAATCTATGAATATAGCACTAAACAGCATTTCCATGTTAGATCTAGGTGGGGAAAAAAAAAAAATAGATATATATATATATATATATATATAAACCTACCAATTACTTTTAAGGTTAGAAAGTTTTGATCCAAGATCATGTGCTTTTTGAGTCCTTTTTTTTTTTTTTTTAACATATCTAAGGTTTTGATTGAGCTTAGAGCTTACACAGGGTTGTAAGAAAGAGAGAGAAGCTAAAAAAACTCAGGGAGAAAAGGTGCATGCAAATTTAAAAATCCAACCGCCCAATCACAACCATATTGGCCGATACTTTAGCGACTCGGTTGAGCATTTCCGAGTCACTCTGAGCCTTGGTCCCTCGCAATTCTCATTGACAATCATATACCACACTGTAACGGGCTCGACTCTGGCTAAGTCTGTTAAAACTTGGCCAAGTCAGTTTATATCGTGCAATATTTTGAACCTCGCCCAAAGATTATCATGATAAAGTTATAGGAAACCTTGTATAAAACAGAGAGCGACATAAGCCCATCATCCTTCGTAATTGCTGCTAGAGCATGTACCGCATACTTGGCCTGTCTTCGAGTACCCTCTAAGCATATCCTTTCCAGTACAAGGTCTAATGAACTGCAAGTAACCAATAAAGTGTTCAGAAAACATATATTCAAGGAATGTAAATTTAAGAAATTAACAATTTCCATAGTAGCACCTTGAGGAAACTCCCAGTTGTTCTCGAATAGTTCCACCAGCCCTTGCTAGAACATGCAAAACACCTTCTTTTATTACTTCATTATCATCTTCAAGAAGATGAATTAAATCTTCTTCAATCCCACTAAGCAGCAATGGGCTGAAGCGTGCAAGAATCTAAAAGTTCACAAAAAAAAATTAAATTAAAAAAAAAAAAAAAAAAGGCTGTAACATGTTTGAGAAGCCAGAACTCACGGAAAGGTTAGGATACTGATCAAATAGGTTCGCCAACAATCTGATATACTAATAGTTCAAGGAATTAAATGGATTGATGATGGTGACAATTAGAATTCAATGGCTTTAAAATGACAATGATAATAGAATGGACTGATGATAACTGATAATGTTCAGACCACTGCAAAAGGTATTAAATTCACAATTATTGTAAGAACTTGCATAAATTAATGGATTTAATTTGCAAATAGGTATGATCTTCTATCTAAGTGGTCCCATTCAATCAAGTGCACTTAGAAGGCAAATTGAACAAGAACAGTATATATCATCAATTTCTCGGTTTTTAATGGTAATTTTGTATATAAATTGAGAATCTAATAATTAAAATACACTAATCATTCTTTTGTTCTGATTCAAGACCCAAAACCAACATACTTCACAACCACCACTAAGGAGTCATCAAATTAATGCTACCCGTTCTGGACAGCATTACATGTGTCCCATCTATGCATATGTCTGTGTGCACATGCATGTTTGATTAACTAATCCCTGCATGTTATGTAGAGATACAAGGTGCACCAAAACTAATCACAAACATATAATCAACAGATGATACCCAATGTTTGAAGCAAAATAACCATTTTGTTTTTTAATCTAATCCCAGCATGTTATGTAGAGAAACAAGGTGCACCAAAACTAATCACAGCATAAAATCAATAGAAGATACACAATGCTTGAAGCAAAAGAACCATTTTGTTTTTTAACCTAGAAATAATGTAGGAATGGGATGTTATACCACTAGTATATTCATGCAAGACAGAGTAAGTTTTGTACTTCCAGCTGATTTTTGTGTGTCAGCTTCCATAAGGATTTCTTTCACATGCTCCTTGTTGAAAAGTATATATGAGCATTTCATAGACAGTGTGCTCAGGAATTCATAAAGTCGATGTCTCTCACCAAGGATCTTAAGCAAATCATCCTGCAACAGGAAAATATTATTTACGAAATCATTGAAAATAAACTTTCCATGCATAAAAAAGAACACAATTATCTGTGGCTATGATTATTAGCTTACCCGATAACTACAAGCTTGAAGAGTGCTCGTGTTTTGATCAAGTAGACTTTTCAAGATCTTCCAGACATTAGCATCTTTTAATTGATCAAGAATATGAAAATTCTCTTCAGCCTTTGCAGGATCAATAAAACAGCGAGACATCATTCTGAAGCAAAATAGAACTTTTTTTTGCAACTCCGGAGCATCACCATCCTGCACAATGAAAATGAATTTTTAGATTACCAGTTCCTTTTTCCCTTCCAGGAATTATCAGTTCAACAGATAATAATTGCGAACCTGATACATCTGCCTAAGAGAAAGATACCTATGCATCTCTTGTTGTAACCTGCAATCCAAGAGGAAATCCCCTGAAAATCAGCATAAAAGTACATCAAAGACAAAAAAACAAAAAAGAGGGGAGTTCTATGAGAACCATGTTGAAAAGCTTGATTTCAAAATCAAGCATTCATAACAAACCTTTGCTTCTGCTCCAGTATCTTCTCAAGAGCCTTAACCTCAACTTTGTCAAATCCTGAAAAGACTCTTACCCAATTTCCAACCTTATCTTTGACTGTAAATTCGGTTGGGAACAGGGTCCCACATAGAATGGGTTCGATCATATCTGATCTGCAAAAGAGATAAAAAGGCTTAAATCATTTTGTTTGAGAAGTCAATTCTGTAAAATATCCCACGGCTTCTAATGGAGTGGTTTCTCATTAAGATTCATTTTTTGTGAATTATCGGGATCATCAGTAGGACTGCTCGAAGAGTTTGTTGAACTAACTTTGTCAAGCAAGGAAATAATCCTTTCAGTTTAACTTCATTCCACAATTATCTGACTTTCAGGTCACCTTATTGTATGAAATTTTTTGCCTATTTTACTAATCATATCCTTTTCTTTAAACCAACAACACAACAACAACTACAAAAAGCTTATCTTCTTTAGATAACATAGGATGTATGATACACCCATCCTATACTCAACATGAGAATAAATGTGATCTCCATTTCGTGTCTCCCCTCAGATAGGCAAAAGGAAAAATAAAAATAAAAAATTAATCAGAACTGCCAGAAAATCAATACAATTTACCAGAATTTTTTTTTTTTTTTTTTTTTGATAAGTAAGAAAATAATTTACCAGCAATTTTGGTCATAAAAACATCTCATACCTACAACATGATGACAAAGTCACTAACAACAAAATAAAAATATATATACACAAAAAACACTAATCTACTTTAGATAACAGAAATAGTATGATACGCCCATCCTATACTAAACATATGTTCATAAGGCAAATGAGATCTCCATTTTGTCTCTCCCCTCAGAAAGACAAAAGTAAATAAAAAAATTAATCAACAACCAGAAAATCAATATAAATTACCTGAAATCTTTGTCATAAAAGCATCTCAATATCTTCCCAGGAATCCAATCATAGTCATCAGTTTTAGTTGAGCTATCAGAGCAGCTCAAGCAATAAAGTCTGTATATCTCAGCCAGCCTCTCCATTGTATTTATTTTAACAAGTAGCTAGATATAAGGAATGACGACAATGAGAATGAGTACAAAAATCACTTAATAACTTAAATAAAACTTGCGCATAGACATAAAAAAGGAAGGCGTAATTGTACAGATTTGTCTCGGAGGCGCTCTGCTACAAGCTTTACAGTCTCAACTGGAACCGATGTCAAGGCATGGCATGCCACATCGCAAACTACAGCAACAACTTGTTTACGGACATTTTCGTCGTAGTCCAACAGCCGATCACAAAGGGCAGCTAGCAAATGTTCACCCAGATCAAAGTCAAAAGATGTAACACACGTGTAAATTACTAAAACATTTCAAGAACCCTTACAGATGATCTGAGGAGCTTCAGCCCTGAAAGGATTCGACAAAAGGTAATTCTTGACATGTTCCAGGACAGACATTCGAACCTCAACTACTCTATCGGTCAACCTCTTCAAAAACTCCAAAAAAATTGGCTGAAATGTTTCAGAGATAGCAGAACCCGGCAGAGCAAAAAGGTCACCTACTAACTTTACTGCTTTTAATCGGATGTCTAATTGATCTGTCTGTACATGTTGAAAGTTGGAAAATAAGAATTCGTTCATCAAAATACAAATAAATTCAAAACTTATGGTATGAAAACAACATTCACTTTTCATGTATCTCTTGAAGTATTTATGAGTGGAACTATTTTGCATTCAGCCAATCCTCCTCCTCCCCCCACCATCCTAAAAAATTCATTCATTCATTCATTTAAAACGCCTTTTTTTTCATCTTATTTTGGACCCAAATTCATAAGCAATTCTAGTATGGGTGCTAGGTTGCAACCTCCAACAAGTATCGTTACAAGGTCCTTGAAACATAACACATGCATTCATAATAAATTTCATTTCATATCAGGAGGAACAATAGAATATATTTGAATTCCTAGAATAATATACATGCAGTGACAGAAGTTAGCAATTGATTCTGTGATTACCAATAGCTCTCCTGTTAGGTATGGGACAACTCCTAATAAGATCTGAGGAGCACAACGATAGATATCATAAATGACTTCATGGTAGTCAATTTGACTATTCAAAGATCTATCTCCAGACATTGATGATATAAGGAACTGCTTTATGCCAGGTTCAAGTTTTCCAGCACAATGCTCTATAACATTCATAGCAAGCCTCCTTGCAGCCATTGAGAAATCCTAGCATTACAGATTACAAAAACTCAACTCTTCAGAGAAGTAGAATTCAAATAAACTTTTGACATTATGCAAGCAAAGTCCAGTGTAAGACAAAGCCACCTTCAAAAGGACAATATAGAAGAGCAAATATACATGAAGAGTAGGTGCTTACATTTTTATTACGGCCTAAAGCAGACAGCAAACCAAGTAGAAGATCCTCCTGGACCTCCTCACTCTCTTCTACTAGAACAACCATGATTGTTTGCATCGATGTAATGACACTGTCTGAATGATCATCACTGCATGTGTACAAAATATAAACTGGCAATTACTGAATGGGCAGAAGAGAGCCAATAGGGAAACATATATACATGCGGGATAAGTTTGTCATATAAAGTTAAATGCAGAATTTTAAATGAACTCCAGAAAAGCAATGATATTCAAACTCCACTTTTCTCCACTTGCACTTCATTTGAAATTTAATATACATGAAATGACAAAACTACCCCTCAAAAGTGGACTGTATGAGTACTTTTTAAAATGATTGTGGAGTGTGTGTGTGTTTTCAAAGGGCAATTGTGTCAATTTCTTTTCTTTCTACATAAAATGGAGTGCAGACCCCATTCCAAAAATATTTTCATGTAATTACACCTTCAGCAAATCAAATATGTTGCCTTCTATTATTTAATAACACATAAAAAATTTCAAAGAGGAAAAAAAAAATAAGAGAGAATAAAGGGAAAATAAGAGGAGAAGAAAAAACAAGAATGGAAAACTTCATTGAAAAAAAAAATGTGTTTCGTTATAGAGAACAAATTAAATAAAAATAAGGGTGGGTTTGATGGGGCTAGAAATGTTAGATTTCTATCCGAATTACTTCAGTCCATCTTAATTTTGAAGTTGATAGTCTGCAGGCTGAAATAAATGTATTTTCTCTCATAATCACCCCTTATCACTTCTCTTCTTTCCATAATAAATGAAAGAAACCATGGGAAATATAAGATTTTACAAAAATTCTATCCTATTCCTTCCTCTTCCTCAGATTATATGGTGTGTTAATCTGAAGTGCCAACATCCCTCCGCCGGATTACTTGCCACAAGGGCCTTAATGAATCAAGCAAAAAATCATGTCGATTTCAAAGATCTGTATCCAAGATAAAAGCAAATCATAAACTCTTTTCTTCAAATTCATATAAAAGCATCATAAGTTAGTTCCCATTCTCAAGCATATAATAATTTTACAGCACCTACTAAAATTACAAAATAACTTGATTAAATATTCATAATAGATTATGAGGGATGCTAGCGTCAGTCGCCTTAGGCGATTGAATTGGTGCCTGATTTTTATCATTTTTTATTTTTTGTTTTTCGTGCCGGTGTCTTTATGTTTATTTTTTTTATTATTATTTATGCTTTTCTGTGTCGGCTTTTCTCTGTTCTCATTCTCTCACTTTGTCCAAGTCGCGAACCCAAAATTCCCCCTCTTCCCCTTCACTGTCTCTCACCCTGTTCTCCTTCACCTTCACCTTCATCACAATCTGCCTCTAAACCCAAAACCCAACATTTTGCAGACCCAAAATTCCCCTTCTTCTTCCCCTACTTAACCCAAAACCACTTCTTCTCTCTCTACTCTCAGCCTCTCTCTCTCTCTACTCACCGGCGAGCGAAGAACCGGCCGTCTAAGCCGCCGACCACTCTTCTCTTCCCTTCTCCAATCTCTATGCCATGGCTCGATGCGCGCAGGTTCTCCGGAACTTCACCTTCAGCTGCGCTCACTCCGCCCTCGCCGAGCCCATCGGCGTCCCCGGGTTCGGCCGCGGACTCCTCTCCTTGCCGGCTCAGCTCTCCACCTTCTCTCCTCAATTGCCGGTGCCGGAGAGCATGAAAAGGGTTGATAAAGGAGGTAAAGGTGAGATTGTGGTGGCTTGGACGAAGATCGGAGTAGAGAGAGAAGTGGTTTTGGGTTAGGAAGTAGGAAGAGAGAGAGAGAGAGAGAGAGAGAGGAAAAGCCGACACAAAAAAGCATAAACAATAAAAAATAAAAATAAACATAAAGACACCAGCACGAAAAACAAAAAATAAAAAATGATAAAAATCAGGCACCAATAAAATACTGCCATGTCACACAACTGATAGCGTCAATTGCCTTAGGCGACTGACGCTAGCATCCCTCATAGATCATATTGGATATTTTTATGCTAGACAACAAAGCGTCTCAGCTCCTGACACTTAGCTTCGGAGTTAAGCTGGATATCTCTGAGAGCCTATTTGGCTGCTTAAACAATAATAGATGTGAATCTTCCTAGGTTGGCGTTTGATCCAATCATATCAAATATAATCATTTTGAACCAGCATACTTAACTTGAACTCGTGACAAAATCGTAATTAAGCCAAATTAAGATAGAGGACATACAATGATCCATCAATTGACAGCCCTAAACAATACTTCAAGGTAACCCTGAATATTCCATGCATCATACATGCATAAGTCGAGCAATGAGTAAGAAGTGTTATTTGACTATTTTCTGTCTCTCTTTTTGAGCAGAATGATCTTTTGGCTGATGAGGTGTTTGGGACCCCACTTTCTAGCTGCTCTCCATCTTTGTCATCTGTTGAGATTGGGGAGGATGGATCGTGTTCCTCTGTTCATGGGGATTTGGGCATGGTTTTGTGGAACGGATGTGAGTCTGATGTTGATTTGCTTACAACTTTGGCTGTTGTTAGACCGGATGGGAATTCTGTGGAAGGGATGGGATTTGATGCAGGGTTGGCTGATTTGGAGAATGAATGGTTGAAGGAAAAAGGAGTTGAGATAGGTTCTCTTTTGGGTGTATCTTTTGAGGGTCGGATGGAGGAGGTGACAGATTTATTCCTTGATGTTCTTAATGCTCAATTTGTGGGTAGAACGGATAGTAGGGGGAGTGTTCCAGTAGCGAGAGAGGAGGGAGTCCAAGTCCCTTGACTCTCGTTACTTATGAAAGGAGGAGGAGGGGGGCTAGGGGGAAGGCCAGTGGAAGGAGGAATGAGACGGTCAACTCTACTGTTTCCTTATGAAGCTTCAAATTCTTTCATGGAATGTCCGGGGTCTCAACGACCCGGCGAGAAGGAAAGTGGTGAATTCGGTAATTCGAAAACGGGCGGTCATCTAGTGTGCCTTCAGGAAACCAAGATTGCCTCGATGCCAGATGTGATTGTCCGAAGTTTGTGGGGTGGGAGATTCGTGGAGTGGTTTGCCTTGGATGCGATTGGCTCTTCGGGTGGTATCCTGATCATGTGGGATGTCCGATGGATCTCTTTGTTGGACTCTCAGGCTCGGCTTTTCTCGGCATCCTGTGTTTTATCCATGGTGGAGGATGGTTTTCGTTAGGTTTTTACTGGAGTCTATGGGCCTACGGAGGATAGTGATTGCCATTTGCTATTGGAGGAGCTGGGGGAGATTCTTAGTCAATGGTTGCTGCCATGGTGTATCGGGGGGGATTTCAATGTGGTGCGTTCCCCTTTTGAGAGGTCGACAAGGGCAGGCGGACGGCTAATATGATGGCCTTCTCAGAGTTTATTGATGATTTCGGTTTGCTTGATTTGCCTCTGGTGGGTGGGCCCTTCACTTGGTCCAGTGGACGTTTTCCTCCGTCTCTTTCACGTCTTGATAGATTCTTGGTGTCGAGTGATTGGGAGGAAAAATTTTCTGATGTTGTTCAGGCCACTTTGGCTCGTCCTTTGTCTGACCATGTTCCGTTGCTATTAGATTGTGGTGGGATGCATAGCAGAAATTCTCCTTTTAGATTTGAGAATATGTGGCTCCGGGCTGAAGGTTTTTTGGAGAGAGTCCGATCCTGGTGGGCGGGATACGGAGTGGCTGGCACTCCTAGTCATTCTTTGGCAAGCAAGTTGCGTTTTTTGAAGAATGATCTCAAAGTTTGGAACAAAGAGGTTTTTCGTAATTTGGCCTGGAGGAAGAATCGGGTTCTATCTGAGATTGCTGATATTGATAAGATGGAGAGCTTGGGTCTATTGACGGTTCCTTTGAAGCTTAGGAGGGTGGAGTGTCAAACGGAGTTTGCTGAGATTGCTGTTATGGAGGAGATCTCATGGAGACAGAAATCTAGAGCCTTATGGCTTAAGGAAGGTGATAATAACACTAAATTCTTTCATAGACTTGCCAATGCTCACAGAAGGAGCAACCACATTGGGAGGATTCAAGTGGATGGGGTGTTGATTGGTAAAGAGGAGGAGATTTGCAAGAATTTTTCTGAGTACTTCTCGAAGTTGTTCACTGAATTAGCAGTTTGGCGTCCTTCGCTTGATGGGATTCATTTTGATTCTATTTCGGGTGAGGAGTGCTCTGTTTTGGAAGAGCCTTTTACAGAGGAGGAAGTTCTCGCTGCTTTGAAGAGTTGTAATAGGGATAAAGCCCCTGGTCCTGATGGTTTTACTATGCGGTTCATTTTGGAATGTTGGGAGGTGGTTCGTGAAGAGGTGATGGGCTCTTTTCATGCTTTCCATGTGCAGGGCTCTTTTGAGAAAAGTTTGAATGCAACTTTTATTGCTCTAATTCCAAAGAAGGGATAGGCAATGGATGTTAAAGATTTCCGCCCTATTAGTTTGGTGGGATGTTTTTACGAGTTGATTGCGAAAGTTTTGGCCTCTAGGTTGAAAAAGGTGATGGATGGCGTCATTTCTGACTCTCAGAATGCCTTTGTGGGTGGTCGTCAGATTTTGGATTCAGTCCTTATTGCTAGTGAATGTGTTGATTCTCAGTTGAGCAGCGGTGTCCCGGGTGTTCTATGTAAGCTGGATATTGAAAAGGCGTACGACCATGTGAACTGGAGTTTCTTTCTCTACCTGTTGGAGAGAATGGGTTTTGGTGAGCGGTGGAGGAGATGGATTCTTTTTTGCATCTCTAGCGCTCGATTCTCTGTCCTTGTGAATGGAGCTCCGACGGGTTTTTTCTCTAGCTCGAAGGACTTGAGGCAAGGGGATCCGCTTTCCCCTTTCTTATTCCTTTTTGTGATTGAGGCTTTTAGCAGATTATTGACGAGGGCTGTGGAGCTGGGTTTTTTGAGAGGTTTTCAAGTGGGGAGGGATGTTGCTAGTCAATTGGCGGTCTCCCATTTGATGTTTACGGATGATACTATTGTGTTTTGTGATGCGGACGCGTCCCAGTTGAGGCACTTGAGATGCGTTTTGATTTGGTTTCAAGTGGTCTCTGGCCTTAAGGTTAATGTTGGAAAGAATCTGCTTGTGCCTGTTGGGGAGGTTCCTGAGATTGAGATGCTTGCGCAGATCCTTGGATGTGGTACTGGCTCTTTTCCCATTTCTTACTTAGGATTGCCATTGGGTGCTCCTTCGAGATGTGTGGGGAGCTGGGATCCAGTTGTCGATAGGTTTGAAAGGAGGTTGGCGGGTTGGGAAAAGCAGTACCTGTCCAAGGGGGGTCGGGTTACCTTGATTAAGAGCACCATCTCTAGCCTTCCTACTTACTTCATCTCTCTGTTTCAGATTCCTTCTTCAGTGGCCGAGAGAATTGAAAGATTGCAATGCAACTTCCTTTGGGGGGGGGGGGGGGGAAAGGAGAAGAGTTCAAGTTTCACTTGGTTCGGTGGGAGCAAGTGTGCCGTCCAATTCGGTTTGGAGGCTTAGGGTTAAGGAGGTTGTTGCCTTTTAATAAGGCTCTCCTTGGTAAATGGCTATGGAGGTTTGGGATAGAGAGGCATTGGCTTTGGAGGAGAGTTATTGAGAGCAAATTTGGGGAAAGTAGCGGTGGGTGGTGCTCTCTGGCGAGGCGTGGCCCAAGGGGGGTGGGAGTTTGGAATTTCATTCGGAGGGGTTGGGATGATTTCTGCAAGCATGTTCGCTTTCGAGCTAAAGATGGAAGGAGGATAAGTTTTTGGAAGGAAATCTGGTGTGGGGAACGCCCTCTTGCTCTCGCTTTCCCACAGCTTTATAGGATTGCTTCTCACCGACAGGCCATGGTTGTTGACTATTATCATCTCGATAACGGGAGACTAACTTGGGATGTTCAGTTCAGGAGGCATTTTCAGGATTGGGAGATCGAGGATGTTTCTCGCTTTCTGGAGCTTTTGTATAGCCAGGTGATCTCTTTTAGGGAGTCGGATTGTTGGTTCTGGGTTCCTAACTCGCAAGGCCGTTTTGAGGTTAGATCTTTTTTTATATGCCTTTCGTTTCATCACGGAGATCCCTTCCCATGGAAGTCTATTTGGCGTTCCAAGGCTCCCCGCAAGGTCGCCTTTTTTGCTTGAACCTCAGTCCTAGGCAAGATTTTAACCCAAGACAGTTTGAGGAGGAGGAATCAGGTGGTGGTCAATCGGTGTTATATGTGCTTGTGCAATGGGGAGTCAGTTGATCACCTCCTTTTACATTGTAGTATGGCCAGAGATTGTTGGGATTTGATGCTTGGTTTATTTGGGGTTCAATGGGTTATGCCTTGTTCTTCTAGAGGGTTGATTGAAGCTTGGAGAGGCGTATCCGTTGGGGCTTCCATTCAAGATGCTTGGAGGGCTACGCCACTTTGTATTTTGTGGTGTATTTGGCTCGAGAGAAATAGGAGATATTTTGATGGAAAAGAGAAACTTGATTCTATGCTTAAGTTCTCTATTATTTGTACTCTTTTTTGTTGGGTTTCAGGGAGAGATTATAGATCTACGGAGAAAATTATTGTTTTTTTGGCCTCTCTGAAGGTCTAAGGCGCCCTTTAGCTTTTTGTTTTGTATCTTTGGTTTCTGCTCCCCTTTTTGAGCTTTTTTAATAAATTCTTACTTATCAAAAAAAAAAAAAAAACATTTCACCCTCCCCCGCGCTGAAGGGACTGCAGTAATGATGCATAGTTTTTATTTTTAGTGAAAAAGACTTCTTCAAGAAAAGAAAATTAAAAAGAATAGAAAAAGGTGGAGAAAAACAAAATGTAAAAAAGAAGAAGAAAAATATAAATTTTAAACAATCATACAGAAATTGACAAAATCCACTTAAGAGCAATGTTCTGCAAATAATATTTAGGAAGAAAAGGACAAACCAATTTATTTAGATGAGAAACATTTGGCTTCGGAATTTGGATGAGACAAAAATTATGTGACTGGTGAAGCAATATTTATCTTAGGCTTTAAAAATTCAGAGAGAAAAAGAACAATCTTTATAATCAATAAGCAACTCATCTAACGTTTTGTGCAAGTAATGTATGCCCCATTCACACATATGGAATGCAAAACAAGACAATAAACTCACTCACAATTCACATATGTGAAAAAATAACAAAAAATCTAAAAGGTTGACTGAAATATTCAATTACAATAGCACAAACAAATCTAACTTGAGAGAGAGAGAGAGAGGTATGGTAGCATTACTAACTGTGTAAGTGTATTCCTCTTAAATAATTGACATTGAATTTTTATGAAACAAAACGCACCTGGCAACAGCAAAAAATATACTGAACATTTCATTGATAAGATCATAGCATTCAAGATCCAACATCACAACACACGACCTATATCTTGCCAGAGTCTCCAAGATGACAACTCTCCTTCCAAAAGAAGGACCACTGGTATCACTTAACCCACTAAAAGTGCTTACAATCAAATGAAAGATGTCCTGTAAACAGATCATATTTCGATTAGGGGGATCTAGAATTGAAAAAAATTAAAAGATGATTCAAGAAACGCATGGACCAACTGAATAAACAATTTGACCTTAAAAGAGAAATGTACCTTTAACACATTGTCACTGTAAGGTGCTTCAGGTGCAGTAATCCGGGTTATGTCACAGAGACAGGTTGCAACAAGAAGTTTTACTTCCCTATCTTGATGTTTTAGCAACTCTGGCTTGACAATTGCATCTAGAAATGGCTGCATGCATTCCAAAATCGACTTTGGCGGTGATTGATCCAACTCAGAAAGGCATGTTGCAGCTTGCTGCATTTCAATAGGAAGGCAATTAGAACACACTTATTCAGCCACTGAAGAAAGAAATGAAACTAAAAGAACTCAATAAATTACGGTGTCCATAATTTAACCTTATCAACAAAGAATCAATATTCTGCCACATTCTAATGATAAAAGAGTATGTGTGTGTGTGTGTGTGTGTGTATTGGCACCATGATCCAATAGTAGATATTCATTAAAAAATAGAATTGAAAAGATGGTAAAAATAAATATGGAAGGAGATGGATGAGTTATTTTATTGGAAAGAACAAGAACAATATAGAAGAAGCTAAACAGAGGTGAAAGCTCATTTTTACAGGAAAGTCAAATGAGTCAAACTAGCACAACAGTAAAGATTTTTCTTTTCTTTACACTAAGTTCCGTGAATACATCAATGACTCAGTCCCTCTAGCTTGCGCAAATTAACACCATAAGGCACAATATAGTGCTTTTAACTTCCCAATAATCAAGTGTAGAGTCTAACTAACTTTTTCTTTCAGGTAAACCACATAAAACCTAAGAATCGGGCACAATAAACTAAGATAGTAGAGAGACTAATACAAGAAAACAAAAACAGAACATAAGCAAAACATGCACACACACAAAAGAAAGAAGCTAAAAATGTTATTTCGTTGAATTGTTGGAACTTTTCGACTACCTAATTTACACAGCGAAGACCTCCCCCCACCAATTCTGTTTGGAGTTCGCTGAGATCTCACGAAGGATGGGTTTGAGGGATGGAGCAAGAATCCCTCCCTTAAACAGTAACGTAGCAACTTGCCATTTGCTTGAAGAAAACATTACTCCTACATAAACAATCAAATTCTGATTTTTAAAGCAACACTTTGAATTGCCTCATTTCGTTTGTTCGACCAACTCCAAATTCTAGCATTTTGACAGTGCCTCTTAAATTGTCATCAAAGTTGAACACCTGAATGAAATAAAAAAAAACCTTGGTTTGTCCACAAAAGCATGCAATTGGGCACCTTAAAGTCACTGCCCAGGGTTACAGCCATCTCCCTATGCCTCAAGCCACTCTACCTCACATGGGTTTTGCTATGCTTGCATAGCCACTGCTAATTATACTTCTGCTCAAACTCCAAATCATGCCACAGTATGCACATGCAGATGTACAAAACCAAAGTGTCAAAGCTACTCCAAGGGCAAATAAATCAGAAAATAGGCCACCATGTCTTTCATGGTTTCTCTAGGTCATACTGACTTGAAATTCCGACACTACATTCACCCATGAATCATGACAGCTACCCACTTATTAAGAGAAGTGGTCTCTACACGAGGGAAAAAGAAGAATATCAGATGTCTATCAAATGTCCATACAAAATGGTTATTAAATAATCCTCCAAAGCTCATATAGAATCTGAACCTCACTAGACAGTAAATCTATATTCTAGATCGCCTCAAGAGCTGCTATCAACCATGGGCATCAAATATGTATTATTGGCAGATCTGTAACCCTTGATAACAGGTTGTGTTGCTTGTTCGGCTTCAAAAAAATTGAGATGTTCTTGTCTCCTGATACTTGATACCATATTTCTCAATGAAATGAATGAAAATATTTATGGAGTCCCTCAAGTAACAAAATAACATCCATCATAACATTTCATTCTACCCAGTATGGAACCACAGCTGCTGTCTTCTTATTCAGATTAGTCGTTAAGTGCAGTTAGTCTGTCACAAGTTCCAGGTCTGCATCACATGTTCACAAGCAAATATGACACAATAAATAAGCCCCATCAAGGTTATCTCAAGTGGACTACAGAATTTGTTTCAATCATGCATGCCATTCTAGAGCTATATCTTCATTATATTGTCATGAACATAAGCTTTTAGTTTTTCTCTTCGCTACCTAATCAAAATCCTTTCCAGCCATACCTTCATTTACTTCTTTCAGCGTGAAGTGAGAACTAAATCTTCCTCTTATTATTTAATATGCTCAGAAATATTGATTTCATTACACATCAAATTATACTTGTGGTTAACAAAATAATGGCAGCCTCAGCACATTAGTATGTGAAGCCTTTCTCTTGCAAAACATTTGTAACGACTAACGACCCTCACCGCCAGACACAATATTGTCCGCTTTTGGCTCTCCCGGACCAGAGACTTCCCAAGGGGTCACCCATCCTGATACAACTCCAGAGTTAAGGACCGTTGTAAATAAGCAAAGCACCTCGTGTTAATGAAATACTTCGTTTGCATATTGTTCAACCTCTTGTGTCTTCATTTCGCTTCACCTTGCAATAATTTTAAGTTCCAAATTTTTTTGCATAGCCAGACTTCTAAATAAGTTGCACCATGAACTGTAAGCAAACTGATCTAAATTTGGACTTCAGGTTTATCTTCAAACTGTCTAAATTTTGACCCCAAATGGAACTAACTAATTGATTGGAGGTTAATGAATTATGAGGAAGATTTAATATAAGTACAAAGCAATAAAAACAAGTTAAATCTTGGTCACCCTTATGTGTAGGTGAATGAAAATTTATGGAACAAAGCCAATATGAGATAAGAACCAGTAACATATAAGGTCTTCCTCATTCTTTTGGTACTGTCATGCAATTTCAGCACAAACAAGAAATTATCATAATGAAGAACTGCGGCACCACTTATGGTGCTGGGATCTCCTCCATGAGTTTCTTACACAATTGATTGCACATTATTCTAGTAAAATATTGATTCCTTGTAAACAATTTACAGGAATATAACTAGAATTGCTTAAGGAAAAAAGAAAATTGTACCTAGGTTTTAAGTTAAAAAATTGTTCTACTTGACTACTGAGTTTACTGAGATCTCGTAGAGAAGTGAATATTTTTGTTCAGCTTAACTTCATTCCAAAATCTGAAATCTAATCAGATTTTTTGCAAGGATTAGCCATTTCAGACGTTATGAAAAAATATTTTAGCCAACACGTCTGAAGGTTCATACTTTCCAATAGAAACAAGTGATCACATTTGGGTCCCACAACATATCCTAGTGTCAGCTGCTTATTAGAAAAACAATAAGAAGTATTTGCTCTCCTTTAGAAGGTTATTGTCTCAAAGCCAAGAAAATTTTCCCTTCTCAACACCCCTAAATCTGACATCAGTAACACATCTTCCTCTAAATTTCGAAAGCATGCATTATTTCAATGGGTCTGTTGTAGGTGCTAGAGGATATATAATGAAGCCCTTTACAGTAAATCCTCCTCATTGATGAGTCCTTGAAAGCAATGTTATTTGATACTCACTTCAACTATAATACCCAAGTTACCACAGTGCTATACCAGCCCACAAAAATATCATAACATTATTAAACTCTAATGTGTCAGGAGCATCTTCACCAAACCTATACCATGTTAATGCTAAATTGGGCACAATTACTGAAAAGTGTCATTCTCTTTGTCATCGTATGTATCCTCAGAATTAAATAAATGACTACAGGCTTCAGCAGCCAATTCCAGACCAATAAAAAAAATCAACCATCTTCAGATGGAAAAATTTTGGCTTCTCATTTTTTTAGGCTGGACTACTTTGCTGAACCATCATCGCTTTTCTCCACCCAAGCAAGGGAGGGAAAAGTTTCAATTTCAAACCTTAGATTTTGTCTCATGGAAATGAAAAGAAACACTAGGAATTCAAAATCAGAAAGAAATTCTCAGGAAAATCCTTTAGAATATATATATGTGCGCGCTCTCTCTCTAGGATGTGGCATCTCTTCAATTAGCTTTAGCCACCAAAGAATCACTTGTTTATGGTGAAATTTTTCCCTGGAACAGTTTACCATTATAATCGTTTGTTGTTACTTCAATTTTTTTATTTTTCAATTCTACCTTTCCAAGTTCGAATATATCATATTCCATGGTTCACAGTCGCGGTATCTGCCACGGTAACTGTTGTTGAAGTCAATTGAAGAAATTTGTTAATTATACCCCAAGCTTTACTACCAACGAGAAAATTGGCTGCTATAATTTTAAAAAATAAAAATAAAATCCTAGAAAATTCTCTCAAATTATTCTCTTATAAAACAAGCCGTGCTTGGACGGCGAGAGTACTCGAGATTCACCAGAGTAAATTTATATGGCCTTCCTTGGCCTCTAGAATCAAAATACATTCACTTCTTAACTAGCTTCTTTGCTTCTCTCGCGCGTTATTTCCAAAAAAAAGGGCAAAACAGTATGTCAAAAAGAACCCTAATTCAGCAGAATTTACACAGAACTTTCCACCGAAACCATGAACTTGACCCAAAAGAGTAGATTCATGAACATGAATGCAAATTAAACTACAAAAACACTGAAACAAGCACTACAAATCAAAGTAAAAAAAAAATTCTGCAACTCAAAAAGAGAAAAATGCGTACCTTCAAGAGCTTGACGAGAGCGTCTTTATTTGTCGGAGGGGTCTCGAGCTTCGATCCGACCTCCTTCAGCTGGTGTTGAAGCTTCTGGGCCATGTTTTGTTCGGTTCGGAAGCTACACGAGCTCTATCTGGACCATCAGGTTTATTAGAGAGGAAGACAAGTGAGACGAAAGATACTTGCCAAACAAAAAAGCGAAACGAAAGAGGGTTTCGAACAAGGAAGCGATTTGGGCTCCGAATTTAAAGTGGAAATTAAGTAAATTACTCTTGACTTCAGAGCTCTCTCTGTATATTAGATTGAGTTTTGCTATTGTATCCCTGTATATTATCCTATTTTCATAAATAACCCAATAAATTCTTTGATATATTGGTTTTGTCCCCTGCTTTGAAGTTATTTTCTCCTCCACTGAAAGTGAGAAAAATTAAAGGAAAATGAAATGAAACGTCATCACTGATGTGGGTACAACACCCTGCACATCCTTTGCCTAGATATTTGCAAGAAACACAATCTGATTCACAGCAAAATTACATTATTTTTAGTCCAAAAATTAATCAACATTTTTAAGACTTTCTTTACAAATATGACAAATTAAGATTTTCTTATAAATTAAAAAAGGTTAAAGATTTACAGCAAATGCTTGTACAAAGAGAGTGATCTAACTTCAGCTATATATCTTGGGCACTTTTATACCTCTTTAATTAAGTTTTGATATTAATTATTAACCTTAACCATGGTACTTATATTTTTACTTGGAATAAATTTCTTGTTGTATTAAATAAGTTCCATTACTCCTTTTCTCTTTTATGTACTTTCAGTTGATATGGAACGTTTTATTTATTATTATTATTATTTTATTTTTATTTTTATTTTTATTTTTTTTACGATAATGTTGAATTTGTTAGAGCATCTCATAATTCACTACTAAGCGTATAATTCCTTCGTTCTATATGCACCGATTAATTATTTATAAAAATTCATTGAGATGGCCGGAAAAAAATTTGAACCATCAACTTTTAAAATATGAGGTGAGAGATTTCGAATTACCTCTTATGTTTCAATTCATCATTAAAAAAATAAAATTATGTTTGATTAATGAATCCAATATTTAAATGACCTTAGTCAATGAATTTCCTTAGAAAGGTAGCAAGAATTAATAAATAAAGAGAGGGATACTTTAGACTTGAGTACTCTGTCTGAATTCATAAGGTTGTAGAATTTAAAAGGTAAATAACTTAAACAAGGGTATGCATGAAGACAAATTTGTTAAAATGGTGTATGATTCAAAATTAGTAAATTATAAATGGAGCACGTGTAAACTATAAAGTGGTGTCACGACTCACGGCAACGTGCCAACGCCACGAAGTCGATGATTTGTCGGGAACCAGACAAGTTCGGCACGTGACGCGACATCTTCACAGACTCCTTTGAAACTGCCCCTTATGTTGGTTTAGAAGACAGTATTGCCAGTTTGCCACTGTAAAAAATTTCGGACACAAATAGTCATGTTTGCACCTTATTATTATTACTGACATGGCTCTCCATATTTATGAAATGTGGACAGCCTCTTAAGTAAACTATAAACGAGTTTATAATTTTTTTTTCAAGAGTTCCAAAGCATTTGTTATCGTAAACGATACATACTAACCAATACCGTAATTACAAACAGGGGCGGAGGGAGGGAGCCCCAAATTTTTCTAGAATCTCTAGTACTAGTATTAATTTATAGTTTATATACGATAAATTCCTCTATGAAAATTAATGTTCCCCTCCCTCAAAAAATTTCTTAATGGTAAATATATAGGAAAATTAATGGTGATTTTGGATAGGAAAATTAATGTTCTTGTTTTCCCCTATATAGGAAAATTAATGTTGACCTTCCAAATTTTAAAATTTATTTGAAGTTAACTATATGTGATAATTGAAGGTGCCTCTACAGTAATTGAAGGTGTATTGCAAAGGAAATACTTGTAATTCTTTCAAAATCTTTAATTTTGCTTTTATAATTTAAAATCTTATAAAAAAAAGTGTTGCAATCTTGCTACAACGTATTATTACTATGTTTATATAGGAAAATAATATTATTGATGACTTTAATACTGACTTAAAACCAACAAAGATAAAAATATGATGTAGTTAATCTAAAATTTTAACTTAAATAGACATCATTATACTTTTATTTGTTTCCATAAAATACATCCATTTTCCATTATTATCTTTTCAGTTTTCCATAACTCCTTTTCTTATATTTTTAGTTTTCCATATATAGTTGTATCAAATTTTTTTTTTCACACCAAGTTTCATGGCACTCGAATATAAGAATTTCATTTGTACAAAATCTAAAAACAAAAACTACAATGTTTTTATAAATTTGCAGTGCTTTGCAATTTTTTTATTTTCAAAAAAAAAAACTCCTATCATTGTTTTTGTTTATGTCAGTCATGTGGATTATTAGTTTTGATTATTATAGCAACTAATAAATGCATATCAAGGTAAATAGATTAATATTAATGATCAAAGACACAATCTTTAATATATACTTGAATACCATTAAGCTTGCTGTGAAAACGAAAAAGAAGATAATGCCGCCACGGAAAACTAAAAAGATGAGGAAAGGGAAAGAATATGATACCTCTATGAAAAACTAAAAAAATAAGGAAAGGGAAATGGACTATTTTATGGAAACAAACAACAGTAACAATAATGCATATTTAAGTTGAAATTTTATAATAACCACATCATAATTTGATATATATCGGTTTTAAGTCTGGTATTAAAGTCACAATAATATCATTTTCCTTTTTTTGTCCTTTCTATTTGGTCCTCTCAAAGAAAATAATTTAATTTTTGTCCGTCAAAAGAGATAGACTTTTTTTTTAAGGGCAAAGTACAGAAAACCCTCCCTCGACTTGTAGTCATTTTCAATAAACCCCTCTTATCTATTTTTTTTCCCAAAGAACCCCCTTCGACAAAAATGCCCTTTATTTAAATCTTAATTCTCATGAATTTTAAAAATTCATATCTCACAAACCGTAAATTTAAAAATTGTAAATGATATATGCATGGAAAACTTATGAAATAAGGATTTCATAAATATAATACATAACTAGAGAGAAATAAACAATCTAAAAATCTACTCCAACAATCTTATTTTATTTTTAAAAAATAAAATACTCGAGATATTTGTAAGAAATTTTTCATAATTATTCATTTACATATGGAGCCGAATATATTAAAAAAAAATTTAGTCCCAACAGAGATCGATTTCATGAGATATTATATTTTGCGTCAAAGTATTTTAATTCTTTTATAGACTCGCCATTTAAAAAATAAAAATAAAAATGAATATTCGGTCTCTCTTGGGCCTAATTTTTTTAAATGTTATGTTCCATATGAAAATTAATAATTCTGAAAATTCTCTTGCAAATAACCCGAGCCCGAGTATTTTATAAAAAATAAAATAAACTAAGATAATTACAGTAGGTTTTTAGATTATCTATTTACCTCTAGTTATGAAGTTTTGTTAAACAAATCATATATTTTTGGAATCGTTGTTTTATAAGCTTTCCGTGCATATATTATTTACAAAATTTTTATGTACGATTTGTGAGATTTGAATTTTTGAATTCAAGAAAATTAAGATTTAAATAAAAGGGCATTTTTGTCCAAATATTAACTCTTTTTCCCCCTCGGGTGGTTCTTTGGTAAAAAAATTAGATAAGGAAAATTTATTGGAAAAGGCTACAAATTAATGGGGGTTCTTTGGTAAAAAAATTGACGAGGGGTTTATTGGAAAAAGTTACAATTCGAATGGGGTTTTCTGTACTTTGCCCTTTTTTTTTTAATATATACAATTGAATTCAACGAAAAATGATGTTATTGACTACCTTAATATCCTGACTTAAAACCGACATATACAAAAATATAGGTACTTTTAAAATTTCAACTTAAATAGGCATCATTACGACTTTTGTTTATTTTCTTTAAAATGCGTCCCTTTTCCTTTCCTTATCTTTTCAGTTTCCATAACCCATTTCCTTATCTTTTTAGTTTTCCATAGCCGTATCATTTTTTTTTTTTTTTTTTTTCACAGCAAGTTTCATGGTACAAAATTTAATAATTTGATTTGTATAAAATATAGAGCAAAAACTATAACGTTTTTGCTTTGCAAAATTTTTTTAAAATTTTCTCTTATTGTTTTTGTTTTTGGGAGCTAGACAGATCATTAACTTTGATCATTACAGCAATGGACAAATGCCTATCAATGTAATAAATGAATATTAATGATCAAAGATACAATATGAAGTATCTCAATAATTATTACAGGTATGCAATTTGAAATATAAAATAAATTTACATATGGTTGAAACTTTAATCGCTAACAAAGATACTAGATAAACCTATAAAAGGAATTACAACTTTCTAAATAGTTAATTACCTTATATTTTAAAATGATCCCATTATATTTGACACATGGGTAGCGACTCGGTGAAATAGTAGGTTTTTATTTGTCGGACCAAATAGCAGGACTCTTATTCAACAAAGTTAACTTTTTTTTTTTTTTTTTTTCAGTTCTGTCAAAAGAGGTAAATTTTTATATATATATATAATTTTTGATGGGTCATGCCAAAAGAAATAATTTATTCCATAAAAATAACCTCTCTCTTTTTTTTTTTCCTTTTTCTTTGGGTCTTATCAAAAGAGATAAGTTATTATAAATATTTTTTATCCTTTTCTTTTCGGACTTTCTTTTTTATTTTATTATTATTTTTATTTGGGATCTTGACAAAAGAGATAATTTATTCCATAAATATGTTTTGTTTTTTTTTTTGAGTTTTTTTTTTTCATGTTAAAGGAGATAATTGTTTTAATGGTTACTTTTTATTTTTTCGGTCTGGTCAAAAGAAGCAATTTATTCAACATAATGTTTTATTGTTTGGTCATGTAAAAAAAGATTTATTCAAATTTTTTTTTTTTTTTTTTTTGTCGGGTCAGAAGAGACCTAAAATATTAAAGATTAGGGATAAGGAAAAGAAATATAAAAGGGTAGTTGTGTCATTTAAAAAAGTAATAATTATTTATTTATAAAGTTAGGGTTAGAATTACCATTTCATTCAAGATTCCTTATTAAGATTAAAAAGTATAGTGCAAATATCGCCTCCCATTATTTATAGATATGCTCTAAAAATGTGCATTAAAAATGCACCAAAAAAAAATTTTGTTTGAATTATAATCTTTTATTGCTAT